TTGTGATCAACTATTAAAAAGAACAGTTACGTCACCGTGGACAAAACACAGCACTGGGTGCGAGGGCTGTTTGTGATCGTCGGGTACGTGACATTGTACTGTAGTCAGCCATGGGGCAATGATGAGGGAGGGACGGAGGGAGGGAGTGAGTGAGGGAGATGAGTAATCGGAATAATAGACACTCGGGGTCAAAGTGCGGAGGATGAACGTCGATCAAAAGTCGAGTTAGCAAACCCTGAAGCGACCGATTGGATGAATCCTGCGGTGCTTTTTAGTTGAGTTCAAATCCCAACTGGGGATTCACTCAACCCATCATCTTTCCCAAGTCAATAAAACGACTACCAACTTTGTGAGACTCACACACCGGTGGCTGTCACGTGGGGTGACCGGTTCCCACCACAGTAATGTAGAAATCCACCACTGGGTCGGGGACACCAGTGGGGAATTGAGGGCCACACCATTGCCTGTTTGAGCGAGGTGGGGACACATCGCTCCGACGTCTTTCCACGTTACACCTCCTTTCGTCCAGCATCTCACTGTTCATCCGGCCACATGCGAGAAGAACTGCGTAAGTCTTACGCTCTGTCCCACAAGACTACTTCGAATGCACATCCTCAAACACCAGATCCCACGTTATCAGCGTCATTCCATCAGACCCCCCCCCCTCAGTTAGAGTCCAACGTTCGTGTTCTGCGTAAACGGGCCCCCGTGATTAAACTCATCTGACCCTCGCGTCCATGTGGGTGTCCTGGCTCTGACCGGACTGGTTCGAACTGCTGATGTCTCTTGAATATGGGGGGAACAGTGGATCACCCGCGGGTGTTTTTTTAGTTGTTGTCACCAACACGTGCGATACGTTTCCAAGAAGTTGCGTGGCATTTCCCCATCTCTCCATCCGCCCCACATCTCTCCCCCGCCCACATACAAAGACAAAGATCCACCGTATAACCTGTAACAGCCTGTTGTGGCAAGTGCTGTTAGCGAGCACCTATGAAGGCCGGCATGGCACACGAGGGGGTGGGTGGCCAACACCCGGCCGCCTTTGTCTCCCCCAGTGGCGATGTTTACACACCGCACCGGGTACTCATTTGAGGCTGAGACGACCTAGGCGAGACACAGGACCTGTTCAAATAATCGTCACTCGTGTTTGCCATGAGCGGGAATCGAACTCGGGTCGCCAGATTCGTTGCGTGGCTCGCTAACCACTACACCACAGCTCCTCACTCACACAGACACGCATACACGCATGCACGCATGCACGCACACACACATGCACGCACACAAGGGCATGCACACACCTGCACTGCAACACCTGTGCCCGATTGTTTTTTTTCGTTATGTTATATCCATGTTTTTTTATTCAGTGAGATATAACATGCGCAAGGCATCAACACAATGTGTAATACAATGCCCTCCTTGTGTGTGTATATTAATGTTGTGCCAAACACTGAGATAAAATGTTTCAATGCTCTAAGACAGTAGGATAATAATGCACGACACTTTGTAAGTCCATGGCTTTTAGCCTTCCCATGCCGTGGGCAGTTGTTTGACCATACTTCACCACACGGATCTGTGCAGGTTGGTGAAGGGGGGAGGGGTAACACCACTTTCCACTGATGGTAACCTTGATTAGGAATCAAACTCAGGTAACCGGAAGCATGGTTGCAGTGTGCTAACTGCTGACCCCACTAAATTATGAATACTGCACTCTAAATATATGTGTGTGTACAATATGGCATATATATGTACACGACAGATCATACGTAGGTGCTCGTTAACAGCACTTGCCCCAATAGTCTGTTAAAGCTATACGGGGGAACTTTGTATGTGTATATGTGCAGTCACTGACTGTCCCTGGGTTTAACCGTGCACACAGTACGGTACAACGATCCCAGATTCAACAGGCTCCATTCCCCGGCCACACACACACACACCCAAGAATGACGATTCGTAGCTAGACTTGGTACAGACCTCCACTGGGTCTGCCCAGCCCTTTTAAAATCAGTACTGACTGCAGCGTGTCACATAGCAGCACCGGGAAGACGCGAACATCATCGGGCAACCGTGTGCCAAGCCTTGCCGTCCCACCTTATGTCAGGCCAGCCCTAATAGGTGCTGGCGAACAAAGACGTGTCGCAAAAACCGCGTGAAAATGCGCAAGAGGCCTTTTGACTGCTTTGTGTCATGTTTGAAAATCATTTTGTCAGAAAAATAAATGCTGAGCCGGAAAGTATTTTTTTTCTTTTTCCGCTGTTGCAAATGTCCAGCATCGCAATTTTTGAACGAAACACAATTATCCGCCCTTGACCAATTAACCACTTAGTCTTTGTGCACGGTCGAACCGTCATCGTCTAGAGATGTTCACACATCTGACCTCTTCCCTTATCCCACCAATACCTCAGTCCCCAGCGAGTTGGATGTTGCACTGACATTGTAAGTGTGGATCATTTACTGGATGTTTAGTCTACAATTCACTCAACTCAACCGTAGCATCAACAAACAGATTGAGCGATAGCATCAAAGAATACAGTAAATGTCTAGAAATGAAGTTTTTTTTTTAATCTTTCCTTTCCTGGGGGGGTTCTTTCAATTCGTAGAGTTGTCAAAAAAGGGGGGATTTTTTCTCGCTCCCCATGGGGCATTACCTACAACGTCTTGTGAAACGATTAACTTATAGAGAGACAGAGTCAAACTGATAAGGAAGGAAAGTGGGCCTGTACAAGAGGAGATGAAGTGTGCTGGTGCTTGGTGGATTATTACATTGGAGGATTGTGCACCACGGTGGTGAGATGTTAACTACCTTGCCTGGTGTACAGGAGGTCGTGGGTTCAATCCCGACCCTGATGCCTGCATATTTGGAGTTTTTATGTCTCTCCTCGTGGTTGTGTGGATTTTTCTAAGGGTCCTCCGGTTTTTCCCTCCACATTTAGAAACATTCTTTTAGAGTATTTGGTTGCTATAAATTAGCACGTCATTTGTGGGCAGGTCGCTTCTGAAAAAAGAGCTATATAGCTCAGTGGGTCTTATCTGGTAAAATAAAAAATAGTATTAGATGGCGGTGGCTTGGGTAGGTCTTGAACCAGCAATGGATTGACTATAGCTGCTTTTGCTGCTGCTGACGATGATGATGATATAGTGACAGTACTGTGTCAGGAATATTGTTGTGCTCGGTAACCTTTCATGGGAACGAGCGGTGGTGCAGAGGGCCGCACGTTGCGCTACGAACCCAGCGACCGATTCCCGGACACTGCCAACATCAGTAGCGAGCGATACTTGAACCGGTCCAACCTGCACTGACCAGGCTGGACCGGTGGGACGCTTTTTAAAGTAGTATTATTATTTTACGTTTAACGTATTTTCCGGGAACGTAAAATGCCGGCTTGTGCTTTGATTGCGGTGAAATCCGCGTGCCGTTTTGAGTGACATTTGTTTTTTTGTCCCAGCTGTAATTGCGCACTCTGGCTACCAGGGCGACACACACTGCGGCTTGACGGCTGAGCCGTCAGCTGTTTGACGTCTCTCCATGAGCGAGTTGGCTGCAAGGGCAGCCTTTGTCCGACTGCTCATTGCCCTCCCTAATCCCAATGCCTTGGGACCAGAGTCCAGTTCACGCTTCCACATTGGCCTCACTCCTGTGTGAATGAGATGGCGCTTGGTGGTCACCGCACACACTCCGGAGTCAGGTTGAGGTCAGTGTTCCGACGCTGGCTGGTTCAAAACTTTATGTGGCCATCAGACCTTCCGATCCACTAAGAAATATCTAAGAAAATTGCTGCCTTTCCTCTCCCTGTGCCCTGAATCCGACCTGACGCCATCACCATTATCAGCCTCCCAAGTTTCCTACCTCTTCATTCGCCATCCCACCAATCTCTATATAATGGGAGGGTCACCCCTTTCTTCCATGTTGGCCATGTGGCCTGAAAAGCCAATCCTTTTACCGTCTCCACAGCTAACTGCCTCTTCCTGTTTACAAATTGGACCTATTTTTATTGCACTGTTTATGCCATAAATCTCCATTGAGTTGCACACACTACAGTTCTATTTGTAGTTGTAACCTTTAGTTAAGGCTCACAAACACAAATACACAGTCACAGTATTTATTTATACTTTTGCACTTAAACATATGGCGCTCAACTCATGCCTGTGAATGTTCGTGAATTAAGTTATCCCCAAGTGCTCTAATCACCTCCCCACGTACCCTGCCTAAAACAAGTCGTGATAGACAGATTTATTGTGAATTCACCTCCCGCTCCATCCCATGGCATTGTATCACCGTATTCTCCAGATTTTATGAGGCTCCAGAAACAAAGAAGAACCCCAAACGTGTGCACCGTGTCAATAAAGTGAAAATAAAATCTGGTCGCAAGCATAAAGACAAAGATCTCCGGTATAGCCTTCAACATGTTGGGGTAAGTGCTGTTAGTGAGCACCTATGAAGGCCGGCACAGTCACACAAGGGGGTGGGGGGCCAGCAGCATGCCAGGCTGCCTTTGTCTCCCTGGTCACGCACACAGACACCTACCAGATTTTAGAATTTACCCCCAACTCTTGCTTGCTTTAAATTTAAAGGGAAATAAGCGTGTCTCGTTATCCGGAGATTGTGGTTTTTCAGTCTTGTTATTGAAGTGTATTTATTTATAACTTGCGGAACTTTAGTTGCACGTTAAACCCACCAAATGAAACCAAATATGGTCATCAGTATCCGGCCTGGTGGCTCGGTAGTGGAGCGAGCAACTTCCAATCAAAAGGTTGCGAATTCAAATCCTGGTTGGAGGTTGCCTCTGACCATCATCATTCTGGGGTCGATAAAAAATAAGTACCACTTTGTGGGGAAGTCAACAGTGGTTGTCCTATTAAGTGACTCCCCCTCCCCCACGCCATAGGAACGTGGAATTTCCACCACCACTTTGACTGTCGTCATCAGTAGTGCCATGCGCCGCCATGTCCTCCCTCTGAAAGTGCGCGTATCCATGTCCGTGTGTGTCTCTCTCTCTCACCAGGAGCCGAGCCACAAAAGAGTTCGCTCCAAGTCTTCGCTCGTGAACCTCATCTTCCCCGTCAAGACCGCCGCTGCCAAACACTTTGGCCGATCCTTACAGGTGAGGCCCGAGATGCAGGTGCGGCGCTCAAAGCCGCCAGCGCGGCGTCCTTACTCTCATCGTCCCGCTTAGTTGTGTCGGGTACTCAGCGAGATGACGATAGGGTCCGGCACCATCCTGTGCTAACCAGCGTAGTGAAGTATGGTCAAACCCTCCCGCCCTCCCCCCCACCACCCCGATCACCAACACACCTACATCATGACATCAAGTCCCCAACAGCTGTGGATCTGCCAACTATGGCATCGGCTGGGATGGTGAAGGAGCAGGGAGGTGCCAAGAATCGCCGAGTACGACCAGGATTCCCCGCATCACGGGGTTGTGAGAGGTCGCGGTGGTGGCAGCTTGCAGAGGCCTTCATCCAGCAACAGATTGACCAAGGCTGACGACGGCTCTTGTCGGGAATCATTAATGGGGGTTTCGCATCGTCCCTGCTGATGGTGACGAATCGTCGACAACTCACCTGCTGCTGTCAGTGAGACTTGGGATGAGGCCACACACGGAGGTCGTTGCGGTTCAAGGCATTGGACCCCAGCTGTCCGTGCGAACTGATGGATGTATTGAAACTCTCCATTGAATTGTTGTGAAGAAAACATAGCTACATTTGTGGATATTTTTTTATATCTGTGGTGTTCTATTCGTGAAGTCCGTTCGGCAGAGGTGAAGGAATGCCCTTCCCACTGGGTGGCTTTTTTATGTCACTCAAAAGATTTGCGCATTTCATCACCGTGTGGAATCTAATCTCTGAGTTTTCTGGTGAATAAGGAATCCACACAGAGATGTTGACCATGCGGTTTTACTTGGGCTTTTAAAAATATATATAAAACACGCGATGACATAACTGTGGGTGGCAGGGGGTGGAGCTATACCGCAGAGCTCTGTACAGTTTGCTAAAGAGCTCAAATACACAAAAGATGATAGGTTTCAATTGACTCTTCATTCGCTGTTTGACGTTGTCCCACTTCGTCCACTCATTTTCAAACAATCCACTCATTTTCAAACATCACAAATAAACCGCTTTGACCTCCGATTATATGATATGAATTTATATAGCCTTCTGCCATATGCTAATCCCTTGTCCGCTTGAAAACCTGGTCTCCTGGTACTAACGGCTCTGTGTACTCATAGATTAGGACATCACGTTGAGGACGCTCGGTCTAAAGTCTAGACGGCGCGGCCGCTCCCATGCATCTGTAATAAATAAATAAATAAATGTAGGTAAAAGGTGGCATAATTGAGGTGTGTGTAGGTGGGATAATTGCACGTTTTGTAATGGTGGAATGCTGAATTCCTTCTGTGGGCTGGGCCGTAATGACAGTGGCTACCTTCTCACACAAAGAGCCCACGATTCCACGAGGCGAAAGTCATGAATACGTCTCTAGACCGTGAAGTAAGGAGTGGGTGTGTGAGCAGGGTGTTTTTATTGAATTCCTTCAGATTACACATAAGAGGCCCCTGATACACACCATCCTTTGAAGTACACGATTGATACCGTTATCCATGGGCAGGGGAAGGTTGATAACTCAGAGAGTTGGCGCTGCCAAAACTTCATCATAATGGAGGATGTTGTGGTGGTTTTTAAAATTATTATTCTAAAGTATAGTTTTTTTTGTAAACTTCCTTACGTGTGCAGTATCGTGGCCGAGAGGAAGTGCTGATCGCTCTTAAGTGACATCTGAACCATGGCCCACAATTGCGCGTGACATGGTGCACGTGTCGAATGTTTTACTTCTTTCTGTGCGTGTCGATTCGCTCACTCCCATCTTCCCGTTAGCGCGGTTGCCTACGTAGTTCAAAGAAGTTCAACATACATACGTACACGCGTGCGTCTCAACCGCGTCGCAAAGTTCGAGTTCCCTGCTCAGACGAGCATACAGAGGTGCTTTCGCGTGCTCTGCTCAGGTTTTTCGCGGTCTCGCCGTGCGGCTCTCCGAGTTGTCACCGGTGTTGCGACGTTTCGCTTCGTACGCCGGGGTTAGCTTCAGCTCCTGTTTACAAGCCTGAAAGCCGGCGGTGGAAATTCCAATATTCTATCCTGCGCTCCGGCGTAATCTTATGACTAATTACTGCCGACTTCCTATCGAGTGGTGCTCATTTTAGTTGCCCCCCCAGCCCCCCAGAGGCATGAAAGGAGGGCTGCGTCACCCCCTGACTAGGTTCGGAACTGTCCACCGTCTCGCTATGAGACACACACTCCTAACCGCAATACTCTCGGTCACAAAGGGGAATTTTCTTGAATTAAATGTTTATATATACAGTATATTAGAAAAAGAAAACATGAAGTCATTTTGTTATGCATGTGTACACATGTTAAATTACAATTTTCTTTTAAACTTACTTGGTTGGCAAGTGTACATTTTTCTCTTTCAAGTTTCACTTCTTTCAGGTGACAAATTCATAACAATATATATCGTAAGTTATCGTCGCCCGTAGTTGTATTAAGGCGCGGTTCTTTAATCCGTTTTCTAAATAGCCAGCTTAACCAGAAGAATTCGGAGAATGTTGAAGAAGGCCCAAAGTCAGAAGGCATCTTTATTTCATATCTCTCTCTTTTTTTCCTTTTGAAATCGTGAGCCAAAGTATGCGAGCAGGTGTGCCTGTGGTTAGCCGAGCAGAGGAGCAGGGGGAGAGTCGACATTGGCAGTGCAGGGGGAAGACACGGGAAACTGGGAGGGATAGGTGTTCAATTTGTTAACAAATTTAGTGCCAAAAATGTCCCTCAATTTCATGTTTATTATTAGTATTATTTAATATTTTAGTCAGCGATGACTTTGAGTGGACACCGTGACGATGACTGCCTATGCTGATATGAGATTAACCAACTTGAATAGTGATGAAGAATACGATCATTCTGCAGTGTTATTCGAGACAGCCAGAGCACTGGGCAGGACAAACGAACGACGGGAATTGGCTCGATGCAGATTATGAAAATGGGTGACAACCTTGCGTCTTGCACACCGTCGTTATTAATAATAATTGAGTGGTCTACATTTTTCACTGCTTCGGTTGACTCGGCTAAGATAACTACTGAATGCAATTCGCAAACGAAGACTATGACTAACTTAACAAAATGCTGACTAAATTAACACTGATCTACTGAGGGCCCACGTTTGTCGACACACTTTCACAAAGGCACACTAGCACGTACAGAAATACAAAGATCCCCCATATAGCCTTAACAGACTGTTGGGGCAAGTGCTGTTCACGAGCACCTGTGAAGGCCGTCAAGGCATACGAGGGGGCGGGTGGCCAGCACTACGCCCGGCCGCCTTTGTCTCCCTAGTGGCGACGTTTACACATCGCACCAGGTACTCATTTTAGGCCGAGTCGACCTAGGGGAGGCCCAGTGCTGGTTCAGATAATCGTCACTGGTGTTGGCCGTGAGCGGGAATCAAACCCGGGTGGCTAGCCTCGTAGCGCAGCGTAGCGCTCACCGCTACACTACCGCTCGCCACGCACACACACGCATAGCAACACTCGCACACATCACACACAGCACGCTGGCCAAAACATCGTGCACTTCCTTGCATTGTTCTCAATCATTGTTCAGACAGGCGACTATCAAAAAAACATAGAGACATTCGCAAAAAAAACACATCGCAGTCAAAACAAAATACAAAAACACGGCCATGGTCTGGCTTTTCTTACAGCATTTTGTTTCATCATCATCATCATCATCCTAATCGGCCACGGTCAATCCACTGTTGGATTAATTTCTCCCCAAAGCCGTCGCCACGCCACCCTGCGATGCGATAGTCCACCTAGACCTGCGCACGAGCTGATGCCGTCGCTCCATCTCCTCCGTGAATCCGTTTCATTCTCTGGCCCGCCACTCAAAGTGTTCTCGACCGTCGGACACCTTAAATTTCAGTGAGATGTTCGTGCCGGCTTTTGTTTCATGTTTGGATGCGATGTGTGTACGGTTTGGGTGTGATGTGTATATAGCTCTGCTTCAGTGGGCCCCAAGGACTGCAAACAGAAGTTCCGTGAGTGCGGCACATAAAACAGGGTGACCTCTGCTGACCTCTGCGCCTGTGCATTAAACAGGCAGTGCCTTCTGAAAGGGTGGCGTTTGTACGCAAACGGTGCATGTCCAGCCGATTTGTTCAGGACTCCTTTTCCAGATTCAGGAATTCCGCCGGGCCTCGTGTGAGCTTGCCTTTGATCTCGCGCGCGGGTCAGACTAAACACACAGAGCCGCACAATCGAGTCAGGAAACGTGGCAAGGCACAATTCTGCCGAGTCACTCGAATGTGTGAAGCCCCCCTCTGTGCGTGAGTGCGTGCGCTCTAAGCCCTCGAGTGCAAATACGCAGGACAAACATTCAGCCTTCCTCCACCCCATGGCAGCATCGACACAAACCCTTCTTCGCATTCGCGCCTTCCGCTCCACAGCCTGTTACTTATCCACTGCTGGCTAAACGGTGTCTAGGTAAGCAACTTTGTCGTCGGCCCATCTTAGACAGCTTACAATGTGGATTTATATAGTGTCAAAATGTGACCGCACCTCAAGGTGCAGAACACATACGGTGGGCTTGTTTATTTGATACGGAGACAATCCCCAGCCATAGGCAGAGGTAAAACGGTCTTGACAGCGTGGGGGGCTGAGGGAAGAGAGCCCCAGGCAATGAGGCTACCAAAGCAGAATGAGTGACCTCCCATTGAGCTATGGTTGCAATAGGGGCTATGCGACTTGCTTATACAGATAGTGCATCGATAATGGAGTTGAGAGGGATGAGAGGGTTAGCGGTAAGAGAGTGCGTGGAGGGGAGGAGAGTGAGATGAGAGGGGAGAAGTAGGAGAGTGCGTGGAGGGGAGTAGAGTGAGATGAGAGGTAGGAGAGTGCGTGGAGGGGAGTAGAGTGAGAGGAGAGGGGAGATGTAGGAGAGTGCGTGGTGGGGTGTAGAGTGAGATGAGAGGTAGGAGAGTGCGTGGTGGGGAGTAGAGTGATATTAGAGGGGACGTTGGCAAGGGAAAGGTCTCCGAGACGTCCAAACTTGAGCGAGGATTGGATTGGTTCCATGATTTGAATCCCCACCACACCCCAATGATTTTTCGAGTGGAATTGCCAACGAGCGCAGTCGGCTGTACAGTTAATGGTAAAAAAAAAACCCCTGTGATCTCATTCATAAAAGTAGGCCATCGTGTCACAGGTTTTATCCGACATTAATATTTGAGCTTCTAAATCAGCTAAGTACAACGGCATATATATTATTAGGCTGGGAAGGGGGAGAGAGGTGATGAATCGTCGTTAGCGGGAGATAGTGGAAAGGGATGGTTATTATGGTACGATGGACAGAGGTGGTCATTCATGCGTTAAGGATAACGAGGGGAGGGGGTTTAACCAGGATTACGACTGAGGGAGGAGGGAGGTCGCGGTGCAGACAGTGGGGAGACTGAGTTGCAGACAGCTGGAGCAACAGAGGAAGAATAGATGTGAGCTCCCCGAATGAGCAATATAAGCAGAACTCCGTTCTCTGACTCCACATGAACATAAAAAATATGTTTTGATTTAAAGCTTTCGTGACTGCAGGGATTCATATTCTTGGTTCTTTCGGTAAAGTCACGTAGAAGGGAAACAATAAAATAATGAAAATATAAAACAATAAAATTCTTACGACGTTTCGACTGCAACACAAGCAATCATCATCAGGTGTGAAAACCACAAACAAATATTGTTGTGGTTTTGTTGTGGTTTTCACACCTGATGATGATTGCTTGTGTTGCAGTCGAAACGTCGTGAGAATTATATTGTTTTATATTTTTATTATTTTATTGCTTCCCTTCTACGTGACTTTACCGGAAGAACCAAGAATATAAAAATATGTGTTCAGCGCATGTGCCTGTTGGTTTTCCAGACCAATAGTGTCAATCAGCATCTGTTTAAGCAAGCTGCAAACTCTAAACCGGTTTGGTTTATTCATTAAAACATTTCTGAGGGTTTTAATTGACTTAATAATTGTTAGAAATAGGATGTAGCCCTTATTGTGATTATGGACATAATTATTGTACAGTGTTGTGAGATGCAATTGGCATGAATGACGCTATATGTATTAAAGACGAAATATTATCACCAACCTTCTGGGTCTCATTAGCAGAATCAAGCTTGTTAAGCAAATGCTCACGGATAACCAGCTGTTATTTGCAAGAGCACTCCATAAAACAAACTATGGGACCCCATTCAATGCAAATGAGCAGCAGTTCATTATGCGTTGCCACAGCAGCTTTTGGCTGGTTCACTTTAGGAAGGCCCTCGGCTTAGGCAGTGCATAGGCCTGGAGTCCACGGTAATTTAAACAAAACAAAAAACCTGATATGCCCATGTACTAAAATCACACTTCATCTCTGAGAGAGGGGCTCACAACCTTACAAGCGTTCACAGAGGTACCGAGCTATCGGGTGTCTGTAGGCGGTGCAACTGCACTGGGGACCCACGGTCCAGAGGAGACCCAGGCACCGGCCTGCGAAGAGGGGCGGGGGGTTCAGGAGGGGGGGGCGGTGACACGCACCACGCTACCCCGCTGGCCTAACACCCGGCCTTGTCTCTTGCCCGGCTGTGTCCGTTCCCCTTCCGCGCTGCAGCGCACAACGAGCGTGCGCTCGGTGGAGCAGCCCCCCGCTCAGCAGAAGACCCCGCCGGGAAAGAGCCCCCCGGCCCCGGTGACGCCGCCCCAGGCGGGCCCCCCGCCTCGCCGCTCCAACAGCCGCCTGTGGAGCGAGACGTTCACGGTGCGCGACGGCGACGCGCTGCCCTCCTCCGAGATCAAGCGGCAAGAGGTGAGCGTCTGTCCGGCTGGCTCGCCGGCCCGCTCGGCCGCACGCTGATGGAGGGATCGGCCTCTGTAAAACTAAACTATTTACTCATTTTGATGTTACAAGGTAAGGCCCACCGAGCTATGCAGCTCTTTTTCAGACGCGACCCGGCCGCAAATGATAAGCCCGACGGAGTGGCTTGACATGTGGAAATTTATAGCAGCCAGATATTCTAAATGTAGGCTTCTAAATGTGGAGGCAAAAACTGGAGGACCCGGAGAAAAATCCACACGACCACAGAGATATAGAACAGGTAAACTCCAAATATACAGGCATCAGGATCGGGATCGAACCCACGACATTTGGCCTACTCTTCCACGCTGGCCAGACATTTTGGAAAAGGTGGGAATAGCCACGCTTTACCCCACCATGCGCGACTTGCCGATTGACTAACCGCGGTCTACCCAGTTGCACTGCTGGCTGGAAAGAGGCGGGGAGGGGTGATGGTTTAATCTCCCATCGTGGTGGTGCTGGGCACCTGCAATGCTGGGCTGGGTGGAGGAGGGTTTTGTGAATGTCACAACACCCTTGTGTGTAGGTGGCGGTACAGCAAGTCGTGGTTTATGACCAATCTCTGTGAGTGTTTTGAATGTTAATCCCCAACATTTTTGGGTTTTCAAGCGCACTCCTCCCGTGCTCAAAATACCCGTTTGGCCAGAAACGTCTGGCCAAACTTGCCAATTTGACAGCTCACCTGAAACAGTATGGAGACTTTAACACGCGAACAATATTATCCAGAATAGATGGGGTTTTTTTATTACATTACGCGATCTCACCCAAACTCCCTCCCCCCCCCCCCTTATATTATGGATAATATGTAGACTCATGGAGGCTTTCCTGGATATTTTTAAAAATCTACTGTGGTCATTGGGCAGCTGCATGGCCCTTTGGCCACTTTGCTGACCACTGAGCCATTATTCACACCTGCTGGTCTTGAGTGGCAATTACCAAAGCACAGCTGCTACTGTTGCTTTGAAGTCGATGTTGAAGACCATGTGAAGTCTGTCAGGTCCTTTGTATATCGTTTTATGTTCAAAACTTGTCATCTTCAAAGCGTATCTTTGAGTAAATAATAGCACGTGAAATTATTAACTGTTGCTGTGTCAGAGCAGGTGACGTACCTCCGATTATAGCACGGTTGTCTACGTACGGTGTGAATGAAAGTCCAACACACATCGGTGTAACAATATTTTTTCGTCAAAAAGTTATTCACGAATAAAAGGCAACGGAATCTGAAAAGGGCACGAATAGGATGGAGGGGAACACGCGGATTAGAGAACGTACGCAGAGTTAGAGGCATCGTACTGCCGGTTCAGAGAAGTGGTGGGCTCGGGCGGGACACGTCATGGCTCAGGGGGGACGATGACCGGCGGTCGAGACTAGCGACGGAGCGGCAGCCAAACGGGGGTGAAATAAACCCCGAGGAGAACGACCTGCACGGAGCTGGCATCACGGAACTGTGTGGCAATGTGTGTCGAGCCGCTTTGGCACCATACGTAGCCAACCGCGCCCGTCGAAGGCCTCGAGCCGAGAGATCGCGACGGCTTAGGGAGGCCTTCGTCCGGCAGTGCATTCGATTCATAGCATCTCGGTGAGCTTCCGCCTGGCGTATCGCCACGAGCCGATGTCATTTCTCTCCCCTTGCATAATTGTTGACCTGACGTTTGCCAAGGGCCGGCCATGCAAATACTCTTGTGGTCGCCGCGTGGCCGGGCATCGCGCTACGAGGGCTTGAGCTACACCCGCTTCACGGTGAACTCTTGAGGACGGGGGGGGCGAGGGAATGAGGAGGGGGGGGGGCGAGTGACGGGGTTCCTGCACCGAAACGTCTCCGTAGCAGTGACTTCAATGGCAGTGACTCAATAGCGCGTCGTTATTGACCCCCTCCTGCCCACGCGCTCACGTGCCCCGCCCCTTCCCATCCAGTCCACCACTCAGACACACGCAAACACCGTGGCGTCGTCATCCGCACCTCGGAGGTAAACAGGCCCCGCCCCCCCCCGCCGCCCCGCCCCCGCCGCCACGACCTGGCTCGTGCTGCTGAGGGAACGCGAGGCGCAACGTAAATAAATAAATAATTGGCGCTTTGGTTGCTAGGCAACTGCCGCCAAATCGTTTGTGAGGCGCGGCTCGAGGTGCTTCTGGCCGCAGCGAGCCGGCTTCGTTTTTATTCTTCTTCTTAAGTTTCACCAATTTTATTCGGGCTTAGCATGCGCAGTGGTTCTGTGAGCCTGGCCACCCGGGCTCCCCTCACCCGCACTGACCAGCGTGGTGAAGTATGGTCAGACAACCCACCAAACCGACACGGTGTTGGGATTGACAAAGTTCTGTAAACGTGTTACATTTTCACGTTGAACTCCTTTATGATATTTTTGTTAATGAGTATTTCCGCATAGAACAAAGTGTTATTATCCAGCACAGATATCCCATGTATCCTCCTGGATTACATCCACATCACTCAAAACGACCAGAATCCTGAAAGAGTGTTTGCTAATCTTTACGGGCTTAAGCTGTCCCCATGAATGACTGACTGACTCTGACTTGCTGTGGCTTAAGCCCTTGGAGCTGTGCTTCAGAGAAGTACAAAACAAAAACACATTTTTAATCTTACCATGCTGTAATGAATACATTCATTCGACAGCGGCCAACGAGGTAAAGGCGCAGCCCTCCAATATCTTGCTCTCGCCCGCGGCTGGTGGAAGGTCCTCCACTAGCCGGAGCCCTGGAGAGCTTCCTCAGGATATTTGGCCTACTCTTCCATGCTGGGCAGACGTCTTGGAAGAGGTGGTGGTGCCCACGCTTTACCCCAACCGTTGGTGTTACCCCATGTCCCCGCCCGTGTTGACAGAGGTGGGGTGGTGGCGGGGTGGCAATGCAGCAAGACACTTGGCCAAATGCTTCAGATTCAGAGCGGAGAGACGAAACTGTCGACCTCTGAATCACAAGTCCAGGGTGCTACCCGTTAAGCCGCGACGGCGTCCCCACACAGCTGCAGCACCTCGTTTCACATCAGTTTGGGCCCCAGGATCCCTGTGCTGATGATGAGAACAACAGCCCCTCTGAGCCACCGAGAGCCACCGTTTTACATTTGCTATTTTAATGCCACAATCATGACAACTCTGTCCTTCTACGTTGCTCCCTGCTGTGTCACCTCGTCTGAGCACTCTGTTTTGTGTTCCCCTTCTCTCTGCCCCCTGATCGCCGCGTGAACCCCCTGTTCCCTTCCACAGACCATTTTCGAGCTTTTCCAAGGTGAACAAGCCCTCATCGAGGACCTGCAGCTCGCCAAGAAGGTATCGCAACTTCACCCGAACAATCCCTCGTCCAGCCGTTCCCTGAGTGTGGATGCTGAACTCACAGCCGCGCGTCTTTGGGGCGCCACGGTGGCGAGATGTTAATGACCTAGGGTACATGAGGGTCGTGGGTTTCGATCCCGACCCGGACACCTGCTGTATATGTGGAGTTGCAAGTTCTCCCCGTGGTCGTGTAGATTTTTCTCCGGGTCCTCCGGTTTTTCCGTCCGCATTTTAAATAATGCGATAATTTGGTTGCTATAAATTTCCACATGCTATGCCGCTTTGTTAAGCTATCATTTGTGGCCAGTTCGCTTCTTAAAAAATAGCTATATGGCTCAGTGGGCTTTACCTGGTATAATAAAAATTGGTATTTTTTGTTATTGCCAGGCTCTGCGAGCCAGGCAAAGTCAGGAGTCAACCGCTAATAATTTCTGGGAGGCATGGCAATAATCTGGGGTATCAAAGAACGAGTGGCGTTGTTCCCTAGAGAAGGTCATTGTGTGTTAGTGTAAGGGAATATCGCACAATAGAAAATTACGCTCATCGAAGGATTAATACGGTAATCAATACAGCACCATTCATACATACACGCCTGCACACGTATATACACTCTATGTGAGCCCATTGAGACTGAAAGTTGCCGCGTAAGGTGTGAGCCGTGTAAAAACAATTAAACGTAACTCACGGCTGCTCTGTAGGTTAAATTTTGATTTAAAGCTTTCGTGACTGCAGTAATTCATATTCTTAGCTCTTTCGGTAAAGTCACGTTGAAGGGAAACAATAAAATAATAAAAAATATATAAAACAATAAAAATATATATAAAACAATAAAAATTCTCACGACGTTACGTCGTGAGAATTTTTATTGTTTTATATATTTTATTATTTTATTGTTTCCCTTCAACGTGACTTTACCGAAAGAGCTAAGAATATGCTCTGTAGGTGTTCGTGGTGGTCGTGTTGTACGGCTCTCCGGTGTGTTTTCGGGTTGTATCGCGTGTTTATTCCACTTTGTGTACAACGCTTCACCCCACGTGCCAGGAACTGGAACTCTGTTCCGGACAAAGCTCCCGGCACGTGGGGCTAAACGCCGTAGACATCATGCCGAACAGCACATGGTACAACCCGAAACATCGTCCATGATAGAGGGGTTTTTTTTGGGTTAGATCGCGTAAATATAGATGTGTTGTTAAACCCGCCACCATCTGACGACACGGCCAATGAGTAAGGTTTGTCAGGAAAACAAAACGTGCCAATTCGTTACTAGTTCAGCACACCGGTGTGTTGGAGAGTAAACCCACAACATTTATAATTCGAGTACCGAGACGTTTCGCCGGTAATTACAACCAGCCTCATCAGGCGATAGCCAGAGTTGTGGAGAAATCCTCGAATTTCGATCCTGAATAGAGGGGGTAAATTACAGCAAATTAATAACATACACATTTAAAGCATGGTATAGCAAAAATTAAAAAAATATTTTGAAATATATATCTTGGATGCAGAAGCGAAACAATTGTAAAATAAATGTGAACATGTTCAACAATTAGGCTTGGCGCAATTTTAAAACAATCACTAGCATGGTAATAAGGAGACATTAATACTCCAAGTGGAATACACCAATTTGTACAAATAGTTTCTGGAAGTTTATTGAAATCTGACGTTGTTGATATTGTTTCCAAAGTGGAACGTAAACAACATTGTTCCATTTATGAGAAGGATCGTATGCAAAAAATAATATTTACCAAAATTTGTGCCTTTTTGGAATGTACTAAAGGAATTTAGAAGAAGCTCATCTTAGGTTTCTAGTCTTTGCCTGTGGCGTTAAAAGTGCGGCAAGGAGGAAATCTACCGCGTCCGAAACAATCTCCAAGACAAAGGTCGAGCGAGTTTGTGTTCGTGTTATCGACGGTGGGAGATAACCCGTCACATCGGAGAACCCTCGATGACGTGCGGAGAAGCTATAACTTGAGACACGAAGCGCAAGGATGTGCGGAAAAAACCATCTGGCCCGTGTAAGGCTCCAGCACAAGATGATTTTCGTACCAAATCACCAGGGCCAATCGCCGGCTTAATGCTGTGGCTATCAAGTTGAAGACTGTTGGGCAAAGGGAAACGTTATTCGTTTCTACAGAACGATCCAGTTTTTACTTTCTGTTTCAAAGTAATATTTTGGAAGCGTGTTTAAAGTTTAGATGGTCATCAAACCGAATTCTCTGATATAAATGGGAACCCCCTACAGGTTTTACTATTTCTCACTCAGTTGATTTCGTTTCTTAATGTAATAGAGACAATTGCGTTCCATGTAGTTGGACCGTCGCATGCAAAGGAAGGATTTACTCTACTTTGTGTTCCGGTTTGGAATGTGGCACTGGAATGTAGAGGCTCTGCTTAGGTTTCTCGTGTTTGCCTGTGGTTGAAACAAAGCAGCAAGGGATTGCAGGCACCGTTTTACACAAAAAAACAACCCCTTAACAAAAATAACGTGTGAGCAATTCAGTCGTCTTCTTATCGACAGTGGGAGATAACCGGTAACGCCATATAGCTCTCAAGGACGTGCAGAGACGCTGTTATCAGAGATGAAGCGGGAGATCGGATTTAGACCATTTAAGGCTGCATGCAGCATGAGCTGATTTGAATACCAAATCTCCACAGTCAATCATTGCCATTTAGCTAAAACCATAAAGGTGTAGTCCTGTAATATCCAATTGATGCCACTGCTGGCGGTGACGCCTCCACTAGAGGGAGGTCTAGAGAGCTTCTTTAGGGGGTATTTGGCCTACTCTTCCACGCTGGTCAGACATTTTGGAAGAGGTGGGAGTACCCACACTTTGCCCATTCACATACGACCTGCCGATTGACTAAGTAAGACTTTGTGAACCCATGTATAATTACCTGATGGATAGAGGCGTGGATGTATAGGCAACAAGTTGAAGATGGGTGGGTCAAAGAGAAACATAACTTCTCCGTAAGAACCCCATTTACATTTCACATTTGTTAATAATGTTTTGAAGTGTGTTGAAGTTTACATGGTCATATAACCAATCGCCCCAATAAAATGCAACAATGCAATTTGAATGTACTGTATGTAGTGTCTGAATGCAAATACATCTTAAGAAGACATCGTGCAGCACAGGGGGGCATATTTGTTACGTAGAGAAAGAGTCGGTCGTGGGCAGAGGAATCAAGGAAGTTCTAGAGCCAGGCTTCAATAGAGGCGGGGAGTCAACAGCACGGATGGCTGGTGGTTCCACGTAAATTGTTAAACTAAACCACAGTATGTTGAATGTATGACTCGTGAAGGTCAAGCACTTTATTTAACTTACGTTGGGGAGTATGTCATGCTGTGGGCAGTTTATGCTTCCCTTTACCACATTCATAAGAGTCACCGTGGCCTATTTGTGTTCTGAATCACGCAGGCTTACCACGACCCCATGCTGAAGTTGGGCATCATGAACGAGGAAGAATTAACAAAGATATTTGGAGACCTCGACTCGTTTATTCCATTGCACCAAGGTAACAATAAACATTACAAGAACCGAACAAGCTTGGAACGTTGGGCCAACGTTGGTCGGACGGTTCCAACCACGTGCTAAAGTTGGCCCGACGTTGCACGTTTACTGGGAAGACATAAGACATGACGATGTAAAAGCAGCCTAACTGCGTGGCACAGTCACAGGGTTGTGAGTTTAAATCCTCTTCAGGATAGAACATTCTTGGCTCGTAATTTCATGATGATCAATCAAATTTGTACCATTTCGGGGGGAAGCAAGAGCGGTTGTTCTGATGGAGGGACTGCGATTACCACTCATGGCTCGGGGTTACACAGTTTAACTCTTTGGATGTTAATGATAATTAACACGATGCAGCAGCTTCGTTTTAGACCTTCTACAGTGTCAGGAATACACATGGTTGCACTCGGATGTGTTTTCGTGTGATACCCCGTGTTGTTCAGCGTTATGTCCGACATTTCGCACCACGGGTTTGCAGCATCTTCAGGAACTGAATTGAGCCATTCGCCAATATCCCTTAAATTTGATAGCGTTGACTGCTACTGCTGATGGTGTTGCCGGATCTGATCGCTTTACCGCCGATGCCGTCTCCTCCCGCAGACCTGGTCAGACGTCTGGAAGAGGCTCGTGGTCCCGACGGCACCGTGAAGGAAGTGGGACAAACCCTCGTCACGTGGGTGAGTGTTAAGAGACGAGGCCACCCGCCTGCACAGCTGCGGACACGTTCCGACAAATTTGATAATCACTCTTACATCACTCAATTGGAATACGCCACGTAGCATCATCGCTTCCCATACCGGCAAGCCTGATGCCCGCTGGCGAGTGCTGCTTTGACCTTGCCCCACACGGGGACAGCTGCCGTAGGGGGGGTCCTCTTGGCTGGACAATGTCAGCTTATTAGCGTGGTTGGGACGAGACATAATTGTGACGGTGCTACAAATTGCCAGAGGCGCATCGGAAGCGGCCACTGCGCGCAAATCCTCATGGCTTAGAGAGCGGCTGGAAAACCATCCTAAACCAAACTATTTTTATTTTACCATTTAAGGCCCATTGAGCTATATAGCTCTTTTTCAGAAGTGACCTGGCCACAAATCATAGCTTAATGAAGTGGCTTACCATGTTGAAATTAATATCAGCAGCCAAATACTCTAAACGCGTGACGTTGATTCTAAATGTAGAGGGAAAAACCAGAGGACCCGGAGAAAAATCCACGCGACTGCTGGAAGAGAGACATGCAAACTCCAAATATACAGGCTTCAGGGTCGGGATCGGACCCACAGCCTCCTGCATACCAGGCGAGGTAGTTAACATCTCGCCACCGTTCCCGACATTGCAGCTGCCGTGCCTCAACGCGTACACCAGCTACTGCGGCAACCAGGTGGCGGCCAAGGCGCTGCTGGACCAGAAGAAACGCGACCCGCGCGTGCAGGACTTCCTGCAGCGCTGCATCGAGTCGCCGTTCAGCCGCAAGCTGGAGCTGTGGAGCTTCCTGGATGTGCCGCGCTCGCGCCTTGTCAAGTACCCGCTGCTGCTGCGTGAAATCGAGCGCCACACGCCCGCGGAGCACCCCGACGTCGACCTGCTGCGCCACGCGGTGAGGGCCCTGCCGCAGTCACTCTGAATGACAGGGGGTGGAACTACATGACGGGAGGTGAAGCTACATAACGGGGGGGTGGAGCTACATGATGGGGGGTGGAGCTACATTACAGGAGGTGGAGCTACATGATAGGGGGTGGAGCTACATGACAGGGGTGGAACTACATAATGAGGGGGTGGAGCTACATGATGGGAGGTGGACCTACATGATAGGGGATGGAGCTACATTACAGGGTGTGGAGCTCCATGATGAGGGGGTGGAGCTACACGATGTGGGTGGAGCTACATGATAGGAGGTGGAGCTACATGACGGGGGGTGGAGCTACATGATGGAGGGTGGAGCTACACGACAGGGGGTGGAGCTACGTGATGGGGGTGGAGCTACATGATGGGGGGTGGAGCTACATGAAAGGCGGTGAAGCTACATGACAGGGGGTGAATGTGTGTAAGTTGAACTTCTTTCGCACCGTAAATAACCGACCGTGCTAATCGGAGGTGCGGGGGAAGAACAACAAACTAAAAATAAGAAAGCAGTTGGAAGCGTCCTGCCATCGATATTTAGCCACCCACTGCGAGCATCTTCGCCGCGCTAATCAGGTACTGAAGGGAAATATTTTCAATCCGGTATTGGCACTCCCATTTCTAATATCAGCGCGCTCGGTCACTCCTTGTCACTTTGTGCACAGCCAAGACGCACGTTATTTGTAGCCGTATTACTTGTGAAACCCAATGCGGCCCTCAGTGAGGAGACAGCTCCTCAACCCCTGTTGTCAGGTCATCACCCCTGAGGTGGCTGAGTAGGATCAGTGAAAGGCAAACAAAACGTGAAAGGCCATACTTGGCATCGGGGAGAAGCGGCAAACTGGTAGGAGGCTAAGCACACTCGCCAACCAAACACCAGCCCTACCCCTAAGCTAAACAATCACCACCCTCTCGCACAATCCTTCCCCTTATTACGCCTGCCCCTCTCCACCCCCCCCCCCAACGAACATTGCTCCATCTGACCACAGGTCAAGGAATAGAACCTCTCGGCGAGCGTGTCAAGCATTTGGCCTCCCCCGTCGCCCGTGATGACGCGCTTGCCTTCCCATGACCGCCGAGCTGATGCCGCTTCTTTGTCCCTCCCCTCCCTTCCCCACTCAGACGGAGATCGTCCGGGGCATCCTCTCGGAGATCAACTTGCGCACGGGCGAGTCCGAGTGCTGCTTCTACCGCGAGCGGCTCGAGTTTGTGGACGCGCGGCACCGGGACCCGCGCATCGCCTCGGCGCGTCTCCTGCACTGCCACGGGGAGCTGCGCAACCAACGGGGCACCGTGAGTGCCCGCACAGTGCACGGCCCGGCGGTGTTGGCCGGGCGCTAGCGCATTTGCCGCTCGTTGTAGCAGAGGATTTGCGCTTAAAGCCCTGCGGCCCGCCCTAGGTAATGCTGCGGGTGTGTTCACCGAAGTAATACACTCGGTGCCTGCTTCACGGTGAACAATTGAAGATCCCGTGATGTTATTTGAAAATGACTAGGTCATGTGCGCAGGCGTCATTGTCCAAATTTGCCAAATTAGAAAAAATGTACCTGCAACTTATTTAATGGGAATGTCCTCTTAACTGTTATCTCCTTTTCACTTTTCTCTGCCCACCGCGGCGTCTTTCAATGCATAATGTTTGACATCCATTCATCCTGGTCACTCGTTTAATTGATTTACATCGCACATCCGTGTCAAAAACCCATGACCACATGACCCGGGATGTGCCCGATCCCATAATATACCGGAAGCTCGGCAGGGGTGCATGGATGGATGACGACCATGCATAACAGGTGCTATAGGCTGTGGGGCTAGGTTTTGGCCATCGGAAGGGCAGTACAGCAACATCAATTGTTGTGCTTCTGTGCTCCCACTTCTACACTCCACCTTTTAAGGAAAACGCACTGGCCAGCATAAAGCATTGGTCAAATAACACCCCACTATCCACATGGCCAGGGGCAGAGCCAGAGGGGTGACAGGGTAGACAATTGTCACCCCCGAAAAAAAATTAAAAATCGAAAATCTGAAACATTCTGCGTATAAGTGTACGACACTCGGTCTGGTGGACTCCGTGCAACTGCATTGTCAGAGTGTGTCGCTAACCGATGGCGTCTAGTTCAACAGCCTGACTCTCTAATCATTCTTGAAATTAAAATTTGTTGAATGTCACCCCGGGCTGAAAATCCTGGCTCTGCCCCTGCACATGGCATGGGGAGGCACTCATCCAGTAGTGGATTGACAAAGGGCTGTACATGTGCATTCAATAAAATAGCTAAGTGCCCCCATTTTTCAAACGGTAATGCAAATAATGCTCAGTTGAGCATGGAGCCACTTAGACCTGAAAATACATTCCAGGTTTTTACTCTGGCATGATTACCAACAATATATACATAATTTGTATTGATTGGGTACTAGCCGAACACACAAGCTACGACACCGAAATGCACGAATCTCACCGGACTAAAACACACTTTATTTACGCATGTACACGTGTGCGTCCGTGCGCGTGTGTGTGGCGACCCAACAGAAGCTGCACGTGTTTCTGTTTGACGAGGTGCTGGTGCTCACTCGGCCTGGCGCACGCGGAGAGAGAAGTTTCTACCAGGTGAGAGACGCCATGGCCTGGCCAAGCAAACTTCCTACCCGGCACACGATCGATAGTGTATTTATTTATCAAGGTTTAGCAGTGCAGAAACGAGCCATGGAGCCGGTTGGCCTCAAGTTTGATGATTCAATTAAGGTCTGCAACCCCCCAATAATTTTGGCTGTTAATGACACTCACATCATTGTCGTCATTTGCAATATCAGACGATCAGGTGACGGTGTGATGGTCCGAATTTTATAATGATCTTCGACTTCGAGCACTTCAACACCGACGTTTGCCATTCCTGACCCATGCAGCCCCAGCTGGCTTTGAGAATGTCGCTCATAATAAATCTGCGACTACTACCGATAACGATGATACAGTTCGATTACCGTTTGGATTCGTCAAGCATCTAAATCAGTGGTCGGCACCCAAATTAACAGGAAGAGCATTTTTTTTTTCCAGTTCGGTAAAAAAAATTTTATATTTCAAGAGGCGCAATGCGTGTCTATAATGTCACGAAGCAGTCCTTAAAGAGGGGCATGCAGCTCAGGAGCCGCTGGTTGCCGACCCCTGCTCTAAATGCAACTGCATTTTAAGAACTTACAGAAACAGTGGGCGCAGTTGGCCATTAGCAGAGGAAAACAGATGGGTCTTGAGCCAGGATGGGGGCAGGGCTCCACTCGGTGCCTCGGTGCGTGAATGCCCACCTTGATCCGTGTCTTTGATCATCGCACAGGTGTTCCGGCAGCCGGTCCCCACAGCGGAGCTCCGCCTGGAGGATATCACGGAGCCAGGGGGAAGAGGCTCCTTCCGTGGGCCCTTTGGGCCAAACGATCGTGGTGAGAATTCAGACGTCGTTTTCTGTCGTTGCCTTTTATTCCCGCTTTTTGGTAATGATGACGGAGACGCTTCCATGGTGAGTTAACGCTCGTGGTGGCACTGGCAGGCATGATGACACTTGTAGCCATAGTAGTAATAATAAACAATAATCATTTGTTTTTTGAAAGAGCGCCATCTCATCTCAAACATTTGAAAGGGGCACCCCCGGTGGCAGATGTCTCTGTGACCTCAGCACCATGCCTGCAAGCGAGAATTAGTCTGGCAGTCAGGGAGGGTGGTGGTGGGGGGGTGACAATCGCTTCGTCTAATCTCGATGATCGAGTAATTTGACGATGACGCCGCTACCGCGAGTTTGACAACTCTTCATGGTGACGCCGACCCCCAGGCAAGAACGCGTTCCGCGTGGGCGTGGGGCCCATGGGCCGAGGCCACACCCTGCAGGCCGACAGCGCCTACAACAAGCGGCGCTGGCTCGCGTGCCTGGGGACCGCCCTGCACGGACACACCCAGGGCAAGGGTCCCCCGCCAAGCCCCCCCGAGATCCCCGCCGACGACAGCGGCCCCCCGACGCCCGGTGAAGCGTACAGCGACGCGGAGGAGGCACCCGGATCGGTGCGCTCCGACATGGAGCTGTCCCTGGGCGGATTCTCCGACTCGGAGTCCGAGGTGAGGGACGCGGGAGCCGGAGGTGGAGGCGATCGCGGCCGCCCCTCGTTGTGACGCGGCAGTAGGCGCGCGTTCCCGTTCCCCAAAAAGCGCCGCGTTTAGTGAAAACCGCGTTCAGCGACGAATTGCCGTACTGTGATTCCTCGCACTGTGAAATCAGCCTGCAGTCATACCATGGCGGGACAGAGAACTGATGAGGGTGCGCCGCCAGATGATAAGCCACTTCGTTGAGCGATCATTTGTGGCCAGGTGGTTCATTAAAAAAGCTGTATAGCTCAGTGGGTCTTACCTGGTAAAACACAAATAGTTCAATATTTTTTTTTATCGTGTCGTTTCAGCGGTCCGAAGTATCCTCCGTCATGGACACGAGTGAAGTTCTCCACATGACCTCCTGGCGAGGCCGCGAGGGCCCCGGGTTTCTGGACGAGATGTCCAGGGACTGTTTATCCGACCACGAGGAGGTCTCCAGCGGGCAGGAAGACTGAAGGGAAACGTCCTGTCAAGGGGGCTCCATCACTCCCCCCTCTTCACGTGACATCCTCCCATTGAATCATCAACCGACGACTTTCCACACACAGAGACGAATGACCAGCATTGACAACATTGCCGTTGTTGATCAACGTTGTATGACAATAGAAAAAGAGACCGACGGACGGTATGGGTCCTTTTTTTCTGGCTCCTATAATACCCCTTTTCCACTGGCACAGCCGAGCCGAGCCAGCGCAGAGCCCTCACGGTACTACGGGTGGCTTCCTCCCACTGGCAATTGGCCATGCCGAGCTAGAACCAAACCGTGGCCCACTGTAAATCTAGCTCCGGGAGGCCAAGCAGGGCCAGGGGCGGGGTTAATCACACATGCATTGCGTGCAACGTCAATCGGTGCAATTCCAACACAGCGTCACCGCGGCATCTGCGTGCGCCTCGACTAGTTCATTGCGTTAGCGACATCAGAGGCACGGCTCGGCTACTGCAGTGGAAAAACAACCTGGCTCCTTCTCGGCCGTGTCCAGCTGGCAAGGTCTGGCGCAGCTACTGTGAGTTGCCCAGTGGAAATTAGGTGTTTGCTGTGCGGTGTTGGCAGAAGGTATTGCCACACCTGAAGTGCCTTCAATGATATTAACAAAGAGGCTCGAAGCGCCCCGTCAACTGCTCTTGGGGTTGTTAGTAAAATGCTGATCTACGCATTCATATTCATGTTTCTTTGTAATATTTTAAATGTTGGATGTTGGGTACCGTATTGCTGTGAGTGTTAAATATAAAGATCTTTTAAAACGCCAGTTCATCAAAACTTCCAAACGGGCAGCTGGTGTTTTAAATGACAACATCTTTGGTTGGGTTTTTAACAAGGGACTGTGAGATGGAATGCCATCTCTGTAATTGTCGTGAATTACTTTTTTTGTTTTAATCTTAATCTCCCTTAAAACAGTTGCTCGCAGTCATGAAGAGGTTCTGTTTCAGTGACCAATTACCTCTCTGGTTTAATTTGCCAGCCTAACTCTATGGATTGCCGTGAGCGAGTTCAATCTTCCGTAGGTGTTGCACTCATTATTTTGTGCTGCGACAGCCTTTTCGCATGTTTCGCTACCCACATTTTAATGAGGGTGGAGGGGAGAGAGGGGTTCGTGTAGACATCGGCTAATTGGAATCGCCGTTAAATTGTGGCGGCGGCGTACAATTGATGCAGATCGCCTACTCCTCTAGACGTTGTGAATAATTCGTAACGCCACCGCAAATCCCAACGCTGTTGTGTCACGGCAGGTTTTTGTCAATGAATTTCACCCTTCCACTGTGCTAGTTTGAGTGCTGTTTCTCATCTGCTCGTTGAACGCAGCGCTATGGGGGCGGGTCAGAATGCGAATGTCTGTCACCGACGGCGTCACACCTCGCGTGTGACACGAGGCTCGGCTCGTAGGCATTCGTTTTTTTAGTGCACGAGCCACCAGGGACGTATAACCTCACGGTTTCGTAGACTTTAACCTTCTCGAACAAAGGCTTGTCAAAACTTGGGCATTTCTCCAAACACATTAAGCCATGGAAATATAAGTCTAATAGTGCCACACATGCCTGTGCCAAGACCAGGAGCCTAACGAAATGCAAAACAAGCCAATCAGACTTTAGCACAGACCGAACGCATTCCGCCGCGCTAGCAGGCAGAGCCAAGATGAGGCTACGCAGTCCGATCTCAGTGGATATCTGCAGACAATCAGGAGACTTTTATTCCACATTATTATTGATGCCAAACATCTGGCGCCGGTGCTCACTCGAATGCGAAGTGCGTACGTGTGTGTTTTTTTATTTTATTTATCTCCGCGTTGTTGACAAATGCTGTACGGGCACAGTGGGCTTTATTTTATTTATTTTTTGTAATGAAAACTATTGTGTTGTGGGACGACATTCAGCCACGTGACATGTGATGCCAGTGTTTGTCATTTATGGTGCCACTCAAGGTCGCACCTCCTGCTCTTATTCTTTTGCCTGTTAATCTGAAGTGTTGAGAGTGTAAAGGCAATCCCTCAATATTTCCTGGTTGCTCAACAGCGGTGCTAAATTCGTTCCGGTCGTCACCCACCGTGGCATCGTGCAGGGGGCATAGACGCAAAGAGGAGGAGGAGGAGGGGATCCTGAGCAAACTCTGGATATGAACCGAGTAGAATGAGATTCTCAGCTGCTGACTTTTACACGAAAAGTCACAACTAAAACATGACTTTTCCGTTTGCGTATCGAGTGGCACCCTACTTTCTCCATACATGGTATGGAATATCATGTAATGTGGTTTGCCTCCGCAGTGGCATTGTCAGCATTTGCCAACTGCATTGCCACGAGTTACATTGGAATAGAGAATGTCAGAGATTCCTTAAGGGAAGTGGAAACCACGATGGTGGTGTGAAGGTGAAGGCTTCTCTCTGCAGGGCACTGAGCTCCGATCGAGTAATCCATACCAAATGAAGTAACGATAAAAGTTCTGCTTGGTCACCCCGGAAGAGTGGAGTTAGCAAATCCGATAATCTAAGCAATCGATCGTTAGTTCGATTGCTCTGCTAAACGGTCGATCAGAGAAAAAAGTGGGGTAAATAAAATTTTACCTCTATTCCCCGCGTGGGCCGCTGAATGTGGAGGTGATGGAGTGAGCACCAACAACGCATCTGAGCGAGCAGCGTCTTTGTGGCATGCCAGCGTCGTGAATAGCTTTGAAAATGTATCTTTGGCATTGAGAGTCAAGAATTGTTCGTTCGGGGCATTGGGTTCCATATGTATGTACGTACGTGTGTGCGTTTTTTAAGCTTGTTTGTGCTTATTAAGATTCCACTTTCTTGGAAGGGAAATTGAGCCAAAGGATTAATCTTGGTTGATGTAGAGTATTCGGTGATTAATTAAGTGCAAACCGGCCTGTGTACAAATACGCAATCATATGACGATAAAGCAGTTGGCATATGTACAGGAGCCGTAAATGATTTCACTGCTCATTGATGCAATTTAAGAGGGCTGATTAATGTGCAGATATGGACTGGGTATGACCACCAGAACCAGATATGGCCCATCACTGAGAACTCAAAACCGTTGAGACCACCACTGGTACATTTTACATGTTTATCGATTATGTTAGCGTATTGTGCCTACTTTACGTTCAAATGGCAATCCTAATTTACAAGGTAATTCAATCAATAAGCAGTTTTAAATCGAAATCATTGTATTATTGACGCAGTATCTGCGTACACTAAGAAAGCATTGGTTGAAGTAGAAACCTGAAAACAATTGGTCCTCAAGTACTGCACTCCAGTAATATTAGCGTTGTGTACCGGCGACAGACAAAATCTACTGTAGCAGAGATTTTTTTCGAAATCTTGCCTTGAAATATATTAATCTAGTCAAGATTTGAGCCTTAAAGTAGATTTTAAGCTACAAGTGTATATAGTATCATTTGGCATCTGGGGGTTGTTTGTGTAGGGTTTCTGTAGCATTCACGGATTAATAAGAACTCTATCCCGCAATTTGAAAAACGTGCCAAATAGGTATGATATATACCTTGCCGTGCTACTACTTTGCAGAAGGGCCTTCACTGCAGAGAGCTCTAGAGAGCTCCTCTAGAAGGTAGTGTGGCCTACTTTTCCACTCTGGCTTGAGGTTTTGGATGAAGCGAGACTACCCACACTTTACCCCACCAAATATACGACTTGTCGATCGACACGTCTAATGATGGATAGGCAGAGGCACGGGGCATTTAATAAACTTGCCACCATTGTTTCAGCTTCCACGCCAGGAGATCGAATTGAACCAGTGACCTCTGGATTGCTGGCCCACCCCACTGCTAACTAACCCTTACACCACTGCAGCATCTTTGCCAAATTAGTATTCCCTTAACAAAAAAGAATGAGACTTGGAGAAAAGGAGTATTATGGTATGGGGTGTATTCGTTGCCAGGTTTTCAGCTGCATGAGTTAAGAGTCAAGGTAAGATTGATTAAAATGAAATTCCATTCTCTACCCCTTTGTTGTTTCTCCAGAAGATGTTTTTTTAAATGAAAAAATTACAATGGCATTTTTGTTTCATGGCATAATCTCACCTGACATTGCAAAACCGTGTCGAAATACTCTTCTGCCATGCGGTACCAAATCGTGGTTCATGTGTTAAGGTCGATTGAACAAGACTATTATATTTTTTTATTATAAGTTGTATAATTTGGCGTTGGCTCAAACTAAACATCACGCCTGGTTAATTTGTCTTATCATTGATAGAGTTCTTTTTAATGAAATTTTATTTTAATTTCTTTTAATATACAGTACTACAAAGGTAATTAGGTTGTTAGCTCTTAAATACATATTTAATTTTTTATTGATTTCTGATGGTATATTTAATCAAGCATGCAGATACCTGCAGTTTAAAATTAGCTCGTAAGTTATTTTCACTATATATAGTAAAAGTACTATATATAAAATGAATACGTGAGGGTTTTTTTGGTGACAATTTTCAACCATACTTAAGACGATGTTGAGAGAAAAATGAACAATGAATTGTAAGACTGATAGAAACTGACAAGAACAAGTCTGTGTTGAGTGATTATAATGTTTGAAGGGCTTCCAATGGATTTCACATCTCATTTTTACATACGGTACAACATAGATCTGGTCCGCCAGGCACTAACGTACAGGCGGACACATGGCAAGGTCATATATGTGAACGTCCATGGAGAATGACAGCGACACCATGCATATATACTGCACTGGGATGTGGGCAGTGAATTGGTCAGGGAGAATATGTGACGGTTCGGATATTTGACGTTTATAATGTCTGCTTCCCACCTCTTAAGCAGCACCACTGCATGCAGGGTAACATGTGTAAATGTTAGCTTGGTTTAAAACTTGACAAAGAGGTTTGGCAGTTTTCGTTGCGTTTTTCCCATGGTGTGGTGAATCGATGTCGTAAATTGGATTGTTGGAAGACGTGAATTAAGGCGGCGTGGCTCAGTTGCAACGAAGTTTGCGTCACAAAATAAGGCATTGCCTTGAAATGCAATTCGCCGAGAAAGACTTGGAAAGTTGGCTGCACAGTAAGAGAACGTGTTAAGGTGGTCTGCGGATGTAATATGGGGGTGCTTGAAGCACCGTTGGTCGGAAAGGAATGCACTGTACACTATATATGGCAGGTGGTCTCAAGTCCTACATCGCAAATGAAAAGTGTGCAGACTCGTACGTGACTCATAATAAAGGTTTTTGGGTTAGATCGCGTTATTTATAAATGTGTCGAAACCCTCCACCACCCGACACGGCCAATCAGCTAAATAAAGTGTCACGTTGACAAAAGACAATTAGTTCACTACTTTAGCCCACCGGTGTGTTGAAGAGTGAATCCACAACATTTACAGTTTGAATACGACGTTTCGCTGGTAATTGCATCCAGCATCATCGGGCAATTCGCCAGAATCGTACGTGACTGCACATTATACTCCAGTTGTAACTCACAACGTGGCTTACTTTCAGCCTGGGGCTGTCTAGGGCTGAGCTCCAGAAAACCCAGTCACCATACGCTCGTGTGAGTATAATATCTGCCTCCCAGTACTACTGGTCGTGGCAGCGCTTTAAATAGAGGAGATCTTCCTTTTCAAAAATACTAAGACCACCGATCATGTATGTACGTGTACCGCTGTATCGTGTAATGGTAAGGTTTGTCGTAAATGAAGGTATTGGAAAAGGGATGAATAGGACAAAACAAATGAACGGAAACACTGCTTCAGGTCTGCATTTATTTATTTTTTTGCCAATTGACACGCGCGTGTCAAGAGGCAAAGCTTTACCACCATTACAAAACACAGCGGAATTATTAAACAGTTTAGTTGTATTTCTTTTTTAATGCAAAACACTCGGCATCCACAAAACAGTACTTTTTAAAATGAAATTACTTCATGCTGGCCTTTTGCAGTGGTACCGTGACTTTGTGTCCAATGGTAAAAAAGGTATTTTAAGAGTACAGCTTTGGTGACTCAGAGGACTGATGTCGTAATGTTTTTAGGGAATGTTTATTTTTAGTTAAAAGGGAACGACTTCCAATGGTCTACACAAGGAGCAGGTGGCTGATGAGAGGCGCCGCGCATCAAGGTGACTGACTGTGCAATCGGCCAACACAATGGAGAGCGGAGGAAACAAATCCCCTCTTAAATTTCAACAACCACGTCTCCACTTTCGGATGGAATTCCGCCCTACCCAACCCAGCCCCCCTGATAAACTTTAATTTTTCGCAACACATGATTTTTCATCGCCACTTTCGTTACAAAGTGCCCGGATTTGCTCTCGATGTACACTGGCTATGAGCAGTAATAGCCACGAGGTGCTTGTTCAGTTATCTCCCCCCGGGAGGTGATTTCAAGAGACAGTCTCGGAAACGATTTCGATGGATTCCTGAAGTCAAAATGTGATTCCATTGTCACATTGACAACCGCCACGATTTACAAAGTGTGTTTTATGATTTTAGCGTCCATTTGATCAGCAGAACGATTCAGCGTGCTGCCGTACAGCTTTGCAGTGGCTGCACGCGTGCGTGTGCCTCGTGTGTTTTATTTTACGGTCGTAGGAAGTGGCTGAGAGATAGGCACAAGGTGGCGTCTTGATTTGTTACTGACTGTGCTTGGGTTGCTGTCTTCTTCTGTATGGGGCATGTACATTTGTAAAGTACACTGTAAATTGTTACCAAATAAAATGTTGGAAAATTGTTTTTTTATATATATAAAAAGTCTACCTTGACCGTACAATTTTTGTGACCGTGGTCGATCTCATGTATGCCACCTCGAAAGACGGTCGGACCTAGCCTGGTTATCAATGGCACGCGACTGTAGTGTGCGTACCAGCTCTGTTGGCCAGAGTCCCTCTGAAACCTTGCTGTTTGGAAACTATGAAAGCCGAATAGATGTTGTCACACGCACAAAGCTGCGGGCGCTTCATCTCGAACCACTTTATGATGCAACGTACCCAAATGTGTGCAAACGCTTGGCGCCAGCTGTTATAGGGCACTCGCGGTTGTGGGGAATTTACTGGTGCTGTATACAGCAGTGGATTAACCATTGCTGCTGATGAGGAACACGTGGATTTGAGAACATATGCAGGTTGCAGTTGTTTGTAATTCAAACAGCTAGGAAACATACGTGAGCTCGGGTAGGACGTGTCACTGGTAGGACGTGTCACGGATAGAAGGGACGATGACCGACGGTCGAGTATAAAGACGGAGTGACAGCCAAGGCAAGGAGCGAGTCTGAGAGAATGCCCACAGCTCGCGTTTAGGTATTTGGTGGATTGTTACATCGCAAGATTCGTGAGATATGGTCAACGGCTTGTGGGGGTCTTCATCCAGCAGTGGGTAGACCAAGGCTGATCGTGATGCATTCAGTAGCAGGGGTCAACTGTACTCGAAAGCAACAGACTTCGCTTGTGTTAGCGTCAAGTGCATATGTAGATATCCCCATGAATTGTCATCATCATGTTGGTTGAGACAAACCAGAAACCGTGATGTGACTTATCAGTGAAACCTGTGACATAACGAGAAACTAGAACTGGCACGATTTGTCGGCTAAATATTATAACCAACGACTTGCGTGGTCAATTACTCGGGCACCTTTAAACATGGTGGGCAATTCCATCCTGCCTCCCGAAGGCAGGAAACCCCCGAAACACCATGCCCAGCGTGACGCGGCAGACGATGTCGATGATGTCACCAAGCCCCGCCCAACACCTCCCGTGATCTTCGCTCAACGGTAACAGCTTTACTGTGATTATGAGCGAGGTCATAGTGACTCGTGAAAGTGATGCCACCACATCTCATCATCCCTCCTCTATTTCTGATGAATCACGCATGTCCTTAAAACCATCGACTTTAACTGAGGTCGCAATTGAGACTGTTGGGAATCTGACTACTCATGCCAACAAACCTATGCACGTGTAGCGAGCGACTTCCGATACGCGTCTTATTTATTCTCACACTTTAAGCACAACACTGGGCGATACATCGATGTAACGTTCCATACGTAGCTACACATAGCCGACCCTTCTACACAACCCCATCGTCGGCGTTCAACTACACAGCGGTCTGACGAGCGCAGTGACGGCGACGATGACAGCCTTGCAGAAGATCGGCCACGTGGCCGGCCGACAAAGAGAGAAACTGATGAAGACCACGATATAGGCCGGTGTTGCCCCAACTTTATATTCATGATATGATTCTCTACTTTATAAAGTTCCTTTCATATTGAAGCATATCAAATCGCTGTACATAAAAAAGATAACTACACTCGCGAGTATAGACACAATTCTAAGCAAAATAGAAACCTGATAATATCGACTCTCGAAATTCCAATAAAATGGAGAACTATGATAAAAGCAAAGAATAATTTCAGAGTAATCCAATCATACAACAAAATAGATTGTTTTTAAATCTTAGGTTACAGGGTAAGCCTGTACAAATAGGTGAGTTTTAAGGCGTTATTTAAAAAGTGAAAGACTCCGAATCCCCAATCGACCGAGGAAGTGGATTCCACAATCGCGGAGCCCTGGCTATAGAAGGCTCCGTCTCCCATTGAACATCACCGCAATCTCGTTTTTGGAATGATGAGTAGACTAGAGTCAGCTGATGTAAGTTTTCGTAGTGGTATATCAAACTTGAGCAGATCGGCGAGATATTTAGGGAGCCAGCCCATTCAAGGCATTTAACGTGATCATTTGAATTTTGAGGTCAACTCTGTATTTTACAGGAAGCCAGTGCAGGGACGAAAGAGTAGGAGTGATATAACCATACGATGTAGATCTGGTTCAAATCCGAGCAGCTGAGTTTTTAAAATATTGTAATCTATTTAAAACAATCTTGATTTAAAGTTTTCGTGACTGCAGGAATCCATACTCTTTGATTCTTTCGGTAAAGTCACGTAGGTATAAAATAAAATAAATCACGACGTTTCGGGCACAACACAAGCGTCCATCATCAGGTGGTAAAGCTTTTAGAAATGCCAGCAGGCAAGGCATTAAGATGAATCTAACATAGATTAAATAAAGGCATGCACCAGCCTCTCGGCATCGGGAAGCGACAGCAAAAGTCTTAGTCGAGCTATGCTGCGTACATGAAGAAACTAGAGTTTGGTAATATTACGTACATGCGAGTAAGCTCAAATCCAGCATTTTAAAAAATATTAATTATGAAAACCCCCGCAAGAACGTCAATATGTATGTTGAACTTATTCCGCACCGTACGTAGCCAACTGTGCTAGGGTGGGGGGGGGGGACGACGACAACAACAAACTAAACACAAAAAGTAGTTCTAAATAAATGAGTTTTCAATCTAAATTTTAAAGTGCGTAGCTCCAGTGGCTTCCTAATATCGGAAGCAAGAGCGTTCCAGACGGCCGCAGAAGCGCATCTGAAGGCGCGCGACGCAGTGACCCCCTTTGTTCGATCGCGAGCCAAAAACCGCTGCTGGGAGGATGACCGGAGTTCACGTGATGGTTTATGCACAATAACAACAACAACACACAAAGAGGTGCTGCTCACAAACAGTCAGGAGTCACACCCCTCCACCTCTCCCTCCACCATCTACAATTGTGTCTTTGTATCACTGCTGCCTGAAGCGGACGGCCACACTTTAAACTCTTTTTTTTGAGTTGGTGGTCTCAACAAAAACACGGCCAGGTTTTCAGCCCTCTTCTGAGTTAAGGTGGTCTAGAACAAGGTCGAGCGCATTGTGCTGCACGTGCGGATGCGGTGGGCACGTGACAAAGCACGCAAAAGTCTGAATGGGAGTCGAGTCTCTTATCCCTGCCGCGTGTGAGCAGCACGCCGCCTCCCTGTGTGGCGCTTGGTGGCTTCTCTCAAGAGCCAAGTGTGTGGCGTCCACTCAAGGCGTTTACGGTAAATGGAAACCCCCTGCAGGCCTCATGCAACAGTGCCACCAGCTGGCAGCGTTCAACGCCTCACCCAAGTCGTCCTCGGGCTCTCTCATGCGACGCCTGGTTTGCAGTCGTCATGCGTGTACTCTCACCGGTGCGGGATTCTCCTAGTAGCTACTTATGTAGTAGCTACTACATAAGTAGCTACTACAAATGTAGTAGCTACGGGCCCCGCACTTTCAAGGGCCCCGCGCTAAATCCTTTCAAGCTATCGATTCCGGTTCAGTGATTCTGCACTTGCTCTATTACTATAGTACTATACTGCCTTCAACTTTTTTGAACGACTGGGTGTTTAAGGTTAGCGATTTGTCGTATTATCTGGCTGTATAGAAAATACAAAAATGCAATTACTTTAATATGCAAGTATTTTTTTAATGTGTTTTCATATTTATGTGGGTTTTTTTTTAATTTAGGGCCCCTTTATAACATATACTACAGGCCCCGCACTAGCGTAATCCGGCACTGACTCTCACATCCCAGGATCATATGAGAGGTGGTTGACGGCCTTCATCCGCCAGTGGATTGACCACTACTTGTCACAGTGATGGTGAGCCGGCCTTCACGCACTCAGCGAATATTTCGCGGGCAAGGCCGTGAATCTGGTTTGGTGCATGTGGATCTCTTTAAAAGCATGCACCGCACACAACATATTACTTACGCAGCATTTGACCTTGGGAACTTATTTTTGGAATGTAATGCATTTCGCAGCTTCCAACTGACACGACATAAATTACTGTTGATATTGGAGACTGTCCATTGTAAACCGAGAAATTAAACTTGCCATCTGGTAAACCAGAAAATCCAACCACAGCTGCGCCGTAGTGCCAGTACAACCCTACTTTCAATCCACTGCTGGATGAAGGTCTCCACATCATACCTGTCAACCCATACGGTTTAGCCGTATTATTATACAGGGAAATTTAGTTTGCAGGTACATACGGTGTACAGGCGTTTCAAGAACGGGCAAAACAAAATCAAATTTGTTGTGTTTCTCCCTTGTGATGGGACTTTGTAAGGTGAACGTTGAGATGTATAAGGGCACATGGTGACCAATAGGGTCTGGAATTGTTCCGTAATAAGGTCGGGCACTGATAAGGGGTTGACAGGTACGCCGCATTGCTACGTGGGGGGTCATGGCGGCTGTTTGACCATACTTCATCACGCTGGTCGATGCGGCTTGGTGAAGGTGTGAAGCATAGAGGTGGTACAGTACAACAGTGGGTTCTGCTTCTCTGCCCATAATGTAGTCCCACAGGCTATAACACTCGTTGTGCATGGTGGCCACCCATTCAAGCACAATTCAGGCTAGAACTTTGCTTAGCTTCCAAGATCTGAAGGAATCGGACGTATTCAAAGTGATTTGTATGATTATATATTTAGGAAAAGGGGGGAAACGTCTTTATAATGACAGTAGTAGTTTGATCGTCATTTAAATGCAGCCAATTAAACTTAAAGGTATTTTAACGCTGTGGCAACTTCTGATAAAGTGGAAAATTCCCATGGTGAATGCAGACCATGAAGTAACAACATTATAACACGAGGTATGAATGGGTTATACCATGCTATGCACTGAATCGTCTATTACTGGCAATGACTGCACTGATTACACGAAGCATCGACAATACTTTGTAAACAGTATTTTAATGAATTCACGCCATACGATTAACACATGGATGGTACAATCCTGAGTATGAGACTGAAATTTACAATAAAATATGTAATGATATTTAATTTTGGACAATTCGAAGCGAAAGTCATTTGTATAAATGTTGAAATAAAAATTAATACGTGGATGGGGCTACTTTGTTGCCCGCAGAGGGCAGAATAGCAAATCATGATGGTTTTAGTGTACTATCTCTCTTCATATATGGTGTGCTTCGTCACCAACTCACACCCTCCAGAATGGTTACCTATCATCAAAATAACGCCCACGACCCGCACGGCGTAGGTAATAGGTCCTCATCCAGCAATCGATTCACAAACGAGGTTTGCATGGACTTTTTAGATCAGTTTGTCGTGTAGCTAACTTGTTTTTACATGGCGAGACAAATTTCAACTTACTTGATTCGCATCAGCGAGATTCAACTAGTTTGGTAGCAGGCACCGATAAACACCATGGGTCTCATTCCCATCTTCACGAATATTTGCTGTACTCTCCAGGTTAAACCCACACAGATGGAAAAGCTATGTAAAACAAATCCGAACGTGCATATATATTCATTCAGAATTATAATTTGTTCTAAAGGACAAATTAATGGAAATAAGTAGTGCAGAACCCAGCGAGTTTGGTTGCCGGCCGGCAGAAAACATCGATGGAGAGATTTCTTAACTAGCCGTGGGCTCTCTCCCTAACCATCACCAAGCTCCACTTGTGAAGTTTTGTTTAAACATCCCCCACAATTAACATGGCCTTTAATCAGCAGCGGATTGCCATAGCTGCTCGCATTTTCATTTTTGCGAAGTGGTGTAGACAGCATCCATAAAAGTTCAAACAGCCACACATTGAGCGGGTGGTGGCGTGACTAACCTTGGAACATTTGCTCCAGCACAACCCTCTCTTGATTTGACCGTGGGACAGCGTATACTTACAAACAAGTTTGATTTTTTTTTTCCACACGAGTTGGCACGTGACAATTGGAGAAATATATTTACACACAGCAGTCTAACCGAGGGAATGTCCTATAAAGATTTAATTCGCCCAAGCTGATCTGCTGCCAAAATGTGTTTCAGCGACTTTAAAATGATTAAGTATTAAAAAAAACGAAGCCATAAATGGTCCTTGGGCTCGCAAGGCCATATGTAGCAATAAAACGATTTTCTCAGGGGGATAAGGGGGTGCAAACAGATTAAGTGACGGATTCGATTTTAAATCCCCTAAATTCACATCTCCATTAATCACCTACAGTGAAAGATCCTCTTATCCATGACTATTGCCTGCGACTATTATCCGCAGCTCCAATACGATCGGGGAAATCTCCCGCTGTTCGTACGTAAGTTTATTTATCCTCTTCACCATGGAAATGTTTTATGCGCATTACATTCTTCATATGATTTGCAAATCATCGTTTTATGCATTTTGGGGAATGCCAATAAGGTACCGTGACACAAAAGAGAGCAAAATCGTGGATACTTTCAAATTAAAGTTATTTGCAAGCAAGATACAATAACACAGATATTAAAGTCATGTTTATATTTTTAAATCATTAAAAACTAAGTACCAGTTTAACACATAGGCTTTCACGACCAATATCCATAATATAGTTTTTTTGTTAGATCACGGTCTAACCCCAAACTCCCCTCCCCTCCCGATATTATGGACAGTAAGTACCATTTATTTGTTTTTGAATACATCTAATTTCAATAAAGGTTTACCGTTTTTGTGTTGAGTCCATTGACTTGGTATGAGTACGTTGTGTTATTGATGTTTGTACTTTAAACTTATTCGCTTTCAACCGTTTAGTTAGTAATATTTTCATTTATTTTGGCCCATATTCTGCATATTTTCAATCCCAAATCCCTGTTTGATTCATGTTTCAATTTCTCTGGTCATGTCTCCTGCTTTAAAATTATTTGGCATGTTTTAACTCCTGTTTCTATGGTGTCTCACCCCCAACAATCTCCTTTCCTTGGGTTTTAAAATTACGTTTCTGTGTAATTGTCTCTATCCTATTAATTTTAGTACCCGCGAGCATGGATAACTTTAGTGCTCGCCACAACCACCTCTGGATAACTCATCTTCATCTCTAAGTCGGCTCAAGCCTTCTGTAAATTACGTGACATCTGTGTGGCCAATCCCCCCAATCCCTCTGCTCTCCCCACCCACTGTGAAAACACACACTGCTCCGTGAGAGCCTAGAGGCACTTACATTGTCTATCATCTTCCTGACCATTTGCTCCCCTTTCTCTGTTCCTTTACCATAATTTTTCTCTTAATTCCGATTTTTTTCTCTTCTCTTCCATTTTTATTTTGCCATACATCATATCCTTGACTCTACTCCCCATCCCGTGGTGTGTCACGGGTAAAACGTTGCTTGTGATGAACCAAAAAAACACGAAGAGGAAGTGGTGGCGCAGAGTAGCAGAAGTTAGTGCACTACCTATAAGGTTCATTCCTGGCCACGGCTGGCATCAGCGGCGAGCGATGTCCATACGGTGCTGGGCCCACCTTTCGCCACCCGCACTAAGTAGCATGGGTGAAGTATGGTCAAGAAACCCCCATGATTAACATGGATTATTAACAAGCAATGGAATACCAGAGGGAAGATTATTATGAGGTATGATCAACCTCCTGGATTAGTAACCCTTATACCTATCGTGTTTGAGGCTGCATGTAACATGATCCACAGATAACGGAGTCGCGGATAAGAGGAGTTTCAAAGAATGTGAAATGAAATGCATCATGCAGTGCTGTATTCTTCTAGTAGAAAAAAACGCTACATATGCTACGGGCCTCGCACTTTCAAGGGCCCCGCGCTAAATGCTTTCAAGCTATCAATTCAGGTTCAGTGATTCTGCACTTGCTCTATTACTATAGTACTATACCGCCTTCGACTTTTATGAACGACGGGGTGTTTAATGTTAACGATTTGTCGTATTATCTGGCTGTATAGCAAATGAAAAAATACAATTACTTTATTGTGCAAGTAAAAACATTGTGTTTTTGATATTTACGTGTTTTTTTTATTTTTATCCCCTTTATAACATGTGCTACAGGCCCCGCACGAGCTTCATCCGGCACTGGCACCATGTCGGCCTTCGTAGGTGCTCGATAACAGCACTTGGCACAATAGTCAGTTCAAGGCTATTGGGGGATCTTTGCCATTGTTGGTGAAAGTGAGTGTGTGTGGGGGAGCGGTAGTGCAATGTTTAGCGAGCTGCGCTACCAACCTGGCAATGCGAGTTTGGTACCCGCTCACGACCAAACACAGTGGCAATTATCTGAATGAAAAATATTACTGTACTTTAAATTTTGATTTAAAGCTTTCGTGACTGTAGGGATTCATATTATTTTTTTATTATTTTATTGTTTCCCTTCTACGTGACTTTACCGAAAGAACCAAGAATATTACTGTACTTTATTTTGTTTTATTTACTATACAGTATGTTTTTTTACAGTGTTACATGCATATGTATAATATTTATTCTAATAAGTTTAACAATCTTGATTTGAAGCTTTCGTGACTGCAGGAATCCATACTCTTTGGTTCTTTCGGTAAAGTCAATGCTTACATTTTTTTGTTGAACAGTCACACAATTCACAACACTGACCGTATGGGCATTTAAATGCAGTGCATTGTTGCGTTCCTACTTACGAACAGTTCCGACTTACGAACAGTTCCGACTTACGATCGACCCTCGGCCTACGAACATTTCCGACTTACGAACGGGTGCCGGAGTGGAGCGGTCATCGACTTACGAACGGGTGCCGGAGTGGAGCGGTCATCGACTTACGAACGGGTGCCAGTGTGGAGCGGTCATCGACTTACAAACGGGTGCCGGAGTGGTGCGGTCATCGACTTACGAACGGGTGCCGGAGTGGAGCGGTCATCGACTTACGAACGGGTGCCGGAGCGGGGTGGTCCTCGACTTACGAACTTGGTTCGTAAGTCGAGGACCGCTCCCACTGGCACCGCGTCGTCTGTCTTTTGACGCCGCGGCTCAACCCGAAAGCAGCCGCAGCCCGCCTAACACTGAACAACGACGCTGAAGTTGGCGGATTCGCCAAATACGAGATTCTCATTCCAGGCGACTTCCCGTTACGTTTTCAATAAAAAAAAACCCGCTCGTCTACCCTCGGAACGGGACACCACACAAACCTCCCCACCACCACCACTGCACGGACAATTATAACGACGCGAACTTCGGCCTGCGATGAGCAAGAATCAGCGCGCAGGGCGAACGAGCCGCCAAGTTTCCGCGTCGCGGCGACTTCCCGGCCCGACCGTCAGCGGCGCGTTCCAAGGGGGGGCGCCGCTCGTCCGTTCTCCGTCGTTTTGGGAGTCGCTTTCGAGTCCCTTTTTGGGCGTCGTTTTTAACCGTCTGGACACTACCCAAAGCCGCCTAGCTTGGCCGCTCTAAATCGCCGTTGCAGGTAACAGTGCTGTGCTGGCAACCGTACAGAGATCCCCCCAACACCAACCTCCTACCCTCGCCTTCGCGTCGTCTGTAGCAGGCCGCTGTGGCAAAGCGCCGTCGGCGAGTCGAGCGATCGACGAAGGCCGGCGGCGGGCGGGCAACACGCAACGCCGATGCGTAGCCATCGCCACTAGGGAGACGACAGGCGTTGTTGTTGTGTGTTGTGTGTGTGTTGGCCATCCCACCCGCTCCGTGTGCCGTGCCGGGCTTCGTAGGCGCCCGGCACACGCGAACAGGCACTTGCCCCCAGCCAGCAGTCGTTGTGATCCGTCTTGGGTGAAATTGTTTGGTGATGCCGCTGCTCTGTCCTGGCATCGGTGCAAGAAGCGCAATTCAATAATTCTAGATTTGATAGCTTGCGTGACTGCAAGGATCCCATACTCTTTGGTTCTATTCGGTAAAGTCACGTAGGTAAAAAAAATGACAAATCACGACGTTTCGGCCGCTTGTGTTGTGGCTGAAACGTCGTGATTTTTTTGTTGTTTTATTTTTTATCTACGTGACTTTACCGAATAGAACCAAAGAGTAAGCGCAATTCACACGAACTCAATACATTCGGTGCCAATAACACTGGCCTTAAAATAACAATACAAATTGCAGCTGACGTTTCGGGCAATGACCCCTGAATGATGTTCTGAAGAGCATCAGTTGGCCTGGCATTGACGAATGCGCTTAGGATTTTTTTCATTATTAGTCATTAGGTTGTATTGATTGGATGTTTATTTGTATCGATAATGGATTGCCGCACGGCAGGAGATAAAGACGCCTTTGTCCAGCAGTGGATTGATCATGGATGGTGATGAGTTACAATCACTGTGGCATCATTTGCAAGAGGAATATTTTTTTCCTCGTTTATGTTTTGTGTTGTGACCTGAATTTTCGACGACAATTCAACGAAAATAAATTAGAATTTCAGCAGTTTCAAGAACTTCGCGGAGATTATTGACAGTTTCTGTGGGTAATGCAGCAGTGAATCTACGTCAAAATGCCTTCATGCGAAATGTACTGAAAATACCGTTCCTCGTACACTTCTACGTGGATGATGCTTGGAATTTAATGTAAGGATGGCATACGCCGCTTGGTAAGTTTGGATTAGCACGTGGAAAGGCAGTTGTTACCGAGGCGGGTATTGGAGTGGCACTTAAAAGGTCGGCAACTCGGGGACGAAAGAATTCAGGCGAAATGGCAGAATACAAGAATACAATCTCGGAGGTTGAACTGAAACAATTACGGGATCTAGCAGCAGGAGGCAATATGTCGTGGCATCAACAACATTTGCCATGATGACCTCTTGATTTTACTTGAGGTATATTCATTAATGAACTATAGATACACTACGTACGAGCCCATATGTAATAGAACACATTATATTCACCATCTTCCTTTCTCCAAAGGCTTGGCCAGTAAATCATCATCATTATTTCCCATTGCAAGTCACTTTCATTCAGGTGCTTTGGAATGTGTTTTTTATTCCCCCCTAGCTCTCTCAATTCATCTCTCACACCGAACCCCAACAGCTCGGAGTCACTTCATGCAGCAGAGAGCAGCCCGGGCTGGAGGAGGAGTTGGTGGGCACATGGACACAGAGCCACGGCCATGGCCTCAGACACCACGAAAGCCCTGCAGGGAGCCTCAACTCTTGCCATCTACAATGTCCTCTTACAGGTGCGGGTGGCGCGCTGTCGTTGCGGTTATTAACCGATGTGTTTGCGTTTGTTGTTGGCTGGGCGTCCCAAATGTGCGGTACGTCTCGAGGCACAGAACGTGAGTTTTTTGTTCCTCCATCTTAAATGCATCCACGAACGGTGGCTGCTGCAGTTCTTGCTTTGACGCCATACAGAAGTGATGTTGTAGAGCAGTGGGGGAATATATATGGCCTACGCACAGGATACGACCCTGCGTGAACATATCGAATGGGCTATATGATGCTTATCACTTAGAAACGGCCCAACAATCATAGTCGACACTGCTAGCATATCGGCTGGACTATTCAGTTGCTAAAGATGAATATTTCACACACCGGAGTTTCACATTTTTTAGCACTCGGTCACCTCTGCCAATGCAAGGGCCTTTTTAACATCAGTCAATAAATGCGTTATATTTGTCATTATTGGATAACATGTGGATGTAAATATATTCGGCCATCAGTATGGACAAGGTTCACTACCACCGTTCTAGAGAATGTTGGTAGACATAGGCCTCTGCCTCACATTGTTCACGTGTTCTAGGCTAGATTCCCATCTTGACGAAGCAGCTGAAATGCCGCTTTGTTGATAGGCATGCAACGATGCATTGATTAATCGATAAAAACCTATTTTATGCTCCCGATACATGCATAAAATCTTGCATGTAGATTTGTTCGATTTGTGCAAATTGTATCATTTCACACGAACATGTGGCGAATGATCTTCTTGATTCTTTGGGTAAAGCCACGTACCAAAAGAACCGAGAAGATGAATCCTTGCAGTCACGAAAGCTTTAAATCGAAATGTGGCGAATGGTTGAACAAATCAATGCAGCGTTGTCCCCTTGAGCTTCCATGCCCTCTGGTGTTGATCTGCAGCAGTTTCAGTAGCTACGCCGGCGATCAGGTCTCATCAATGCTTGTGTGGGTGACGATATTACGGTAAGAAACACCAGTTCATTGTAACAGAGCGATACCATCCACTTGCAAGAAAGTATTTTTTTTTTAATCTCGGAGCTTAATGATTTTACTATACAGTACGGGAGTTGTATGTGTTAGATTACTAAACGGTGTGGCTGGTTGTGTTGAAAACCTGTTATTCTGGGTTCATGTGTGCCACTGCCTATGTGCTGTGCTCTGTACAATTCTGCTTCTTATTTCTGTTGGCCCTTCAGGGCTCACTGTTATGCTTGTCCGGAGGTGCGATGTCCGGTAATAAATGGTGAAGATCATAATTGTGGAAGCTTCCGCTCGCTAGGTTCAGCAGTGCTTGCTGTCTTTTCCGAATGCAGCTGAATAAATGAGTTCCCTGTGAACATTAAATACCTCGTGATAATCTTCAAAGATGACAGTCGCATCAAAACCCAACATCATTTTTCTAAAAATGTATTTTGTTTCTCTAACGGGTCCGAGTAAAGTTTATTTTCTTAACCAGGTGAGAACTCAAGAGACCATGATAGTGTCATTTGCATGAGTGACCTTGGTCTCCAAAGTAACAAAACCAAACAAATAAAAAATGTACAGGCATTAAGCAAATAGAGTATTTGGCTGCTGTACGTTTCCATGTGATAAGCCACTTCGTTAAGCTATAATTTGTGGGCAGGTCACAAATTATAGCTTAAAAAGAGCTATCTAGCTCAGTGGGCCTTACCTGGTAAAATAAAATTAGTTAATCGTTTATTATTTTCGAAATCAGCGCAAATAAAACTTTGTCGTAAGAGAAATTGTAATATTGCACAGACATTAATAATTATTAAATAGTACAGATGCTTTTTAGACTAATCGTCATACAATTTAAATTAAGTTACAAAAACATTAAGATATAGAGGGTAAATATTGTACTTATGTATAAACAGACAAGGATATATATATACAATTCAATTGAAGTTATAACAAATCCACATTGTCATTTAGATGGAAGAGTAATTTGAAAGATTAAACATTGGTTGTTACTTGTGTCTCAGTGGTATGCATCTTAGTCGACCCAACAAGGATCCTACAATTCATAGTTTATTTATTTGGTATAGCCCTGTGAGTCATTCGGCTCTTGAATCGGGTGCAACCTCAACAAACAAAAAACATGAACAAGAAAACATCTTTAAGTGATTATGTGACTGTGCAAACAGAAAATCCAGGAAAAAAACAATACAAAATATTCCTGAAATAGCACCATACACCAACGCTGTGTGCAAAAATCCCAGTGGGATGCAAGTCAAATAACAACAACAACAACCACAAGACAACTAAGATTTAGGCCATCGGTCTAACTCCGTACTACAATAAACAAAAACATGGCCAAAACCAAAAAACTTTTCGAAATCACCAAAATAAAAGACTGGAAATCCAATAACAAACATTACAAATGTTTCCATTGTGCTGTGCACACGTTGCCATTGTATTAGTGGTCATTGCATAGTTATTGTCAGGCATGTTTTAGAGGTAGTAATTTGAAAGGTGGCTAATTTAATATTTTCTAACACACAAGTATCTAGGTCAGTGAGACTACACAAGTCTCATTCTGATGCTGTGTTTGAGGGAATAGGCAAAATGTATGTGTGCACAATGCGGTGCTTTATACAAACACCCTGTTCGCAGCAGACACCGTGAGTGAAATGACGCAACATAAATTGAGCAAAACCTGCCAGTGATTAAATTTGGAGTTATAATTTGTCCTGGATGTCACTTCTAGTCAATTGCAAGCTCACTGTTGGCTAATCAGACAGCGAGTAAGCAGGCCTGATGCTGTCTGAGATCGTGGCTGCTGTTCTTTGGACAGAAGGGTGAGCAAGTTCAAACTTTGCAGCCACCCCCGTTTTGCTTTATCTGTAGATTTATCAGTGTGTCAAATTCTGTTATGGGAGGTGAATTGGCAGATATTAGAGCCACGTGCTCTTGCCTAAAGGGCAAACAAGTCGTGGCATGACGCTGCTCCGCGTTAGCGGTGGGTGCTCGCATTTACATAAGCGTTAGAACAGGAAACGTCAGGCACCGTGACGGGAACAGTTGTGCCCCTTTCCCAGTTGGATATTTCACAATACCTAAATCATGATGCACAGTGCTAATTTATCACCGCCAATCTCAAATAATTTGGAAATATCTACAGGGTACGAGCAGTGCTGGCTTTATGAATGTGCAACATGTGCGTAGGACCCCCATTTCATGAAAGAGGAACCCCAACATTATCTGTCTACATCATTAGACCTCCTTTGCCAGTACCAAAATATAATAATAGGGTTTTTCCCCTTTTTTCTGGCAACAAAACTGAAACCTTTTTACAAGGATTCATGTCTGCAGTAACCACAATACGTGCAGTAAAAATGCAAACAAAAAACATACTATGATAATATATGCATTGTCCTTGAAACTGGTTGGTCCACACGCCTTCTGGCGTCATCTGGTCGAGCACCAATTGGGTCGAGGCTCAAAAGATACCCGTCCCTTGGTGTGGACCAATCAGTTTCAAGGACAATGCATATATTATCATAGTATGTTTTTTGTTTACATTTTTACTGCAGGTATTGTGGTTAATGCAGACATGAATCCTCGTTAAAAGGTTTCAGTTTTGTTGCCAGAAAAAAGGGGAAAACCTTATTATCTGTCTATATTGGTCTCTATAACTCTCTCCTCTTCATCTCGTGTCGCTGTTTCACTTTGTCACTCTCTGTCTCTGTGCTTCTTTCTTTGTCTCTGTTTCTGTTCGTGTTTATGTCTGTGTGTTTGTCTGTCTCTCTCTGTCTGTCTTTTGGACGATCTGTATAGGTCTTGAGTAATGACTGCTTATTCTTAGTTTTTTCGGTAAAGTCACGTTGAAGAGAAACAACAAAATAACACCTGATGATGACCGTTTGAGTTATGGTCGAAACGTCGTGAGAATTTTTTATTGTTTTATATATATTTTTATATATATTTTTATATATTTTTTTATATATATTTTGTTATTTTGTTGTTTCTCTTCAACGTGACTTTACCGAAAAAACTAAGAATATGAATTACTGCAGTCACGAAAGCTTTAAATCAAAATTTAATGACTGCTTCTTATTATACGTTGAGGGACTGTTATTCCTTTCTTCACACTGGCACGTTAATGGGTAAGATATCTGTGATTTTATTAGGGAATGATTGCACACATGGAAATTAGAAACCATATCTGTCGGCACGATTCTATGAAAGCCCCTGTTAGTATAATTCCATCGTGTGCTGTTAAAAGTAAAACAAATATCCTGTGGTTTAACTATTAAAGAATACATCTCATAACTAATACCACTCGTGGTGGGGTGGTGTTGTACTCGTATGAGTGTTAAAACTATTGACATAGGTATTTGGAGAGTGCCTACAAGATGAGTCTTTTATTCACATCACTGAGTAACCTTTTGCTGTCATTCAGAGTTCTAATCTGGATTTCAACCGCCTGTGGTTAAACCAGGCTCTGAAGTATAGCGAGTTTGATAGTCTCAGCCTCGTTGCCAATGACAGCATTGGTTACCAGGTTGCGACTAAATTGGGATAACTTCCAGCTTTGAGAAATAAAAATACCGTACCTGTTTGACTATTATTCAACAAACACCAATCTCATAGCAGTAGTGTGTATAGATGAAACGGCTGCTTGGGTGGGTTTTTCAGAATAAGTTCTGGGAAAATCTCGTGCATAGCCATTCTCTGACTCTCGGGGCTGCATTGCTCAGTGGTAATTCTGAACGGATTCTTTATTATTCTGACATTGCCGAGCATCGCATTCGCAACAATAATCGAAACGATATAAAAAAAAAATATGGCGTATTGCGATGGCTGAATGGTTTAGATGCCCGATGCGCTTGCTGCAGTACTGAGTGACCACTGCGGGTAAAAAGAATCTGAATAAAATAACGTTTGATGGTACCTGGCTCTTATTGTGGTCATCGACAGTTGCTCAACAACCCCAGAGCAATACCCCATCAGGAAAATATTTTGTTGGCAATCTGGTCCAAAATCTATTTAATGCAGGGAACATAGTAAGCTGTGGTGTATGTTTCGGGTCAATTAGTTTAGGGTTTTTGTAGAAATTATAACACCTGTGAAGTATCCTCAGATGAATGAATAACATTTCCCAGTCATGGCATTAAGTATCATCTTGGTTCCTTAACAAAATGTACAGATGGTTGGGTGGTAGCAGACATTACTGTTTGTTGCAAAGAAAGTGGGAATGTTCTGACCTCTACTTTGTGGAGCGGAGTTTCACTTGAAGAGATTTCAGAGGTAGTTCTGTGGTGTCCGCTTTCGTGAGCGGTTTCCTAACACAAAGAGTCGCTCTCCTCTGCAACGGCTATACAAATGACTTCTTCTCATCACGTGACACATGTAGAACATTTATGATAAAATTGGGAAAAAGGACAAAAAAGCATAATGTAGTATGTTGAAAGTCTCAACGAGGCTTGTGCGTGTGTGTCTTTGTCTATGCAGAGGTGCTTACTCACGGCACTTGCCCCAGCAGTCTGTTAAAGGCTATACGGGGGACTTTTGTCTTTTGCAGGTGTCCTTCCGTGTCGTCACATTCGTGCTTAACGCCTTCATCTTGCGACACCTCTCCAAGGAGGTGCTGGGGGTCGTCAATGTCAGGTGACCTTGCTCACTTGCTCATCCTGGCTTTGCAGCGACGCACGTAAAAGAGATCTACCGCGATGCTTTATTGGGTTTCGCACACGATGCTGCTTGGTCAGAGTGCGAATATGTGTGCGCCAAAGAGGTGGTTACCTCCTACCAAAGTGGACTACCTGGCAGGTGATCGGCTGACAATTTAGAGGTCTGTTTGAATTGGTCATGGTGGCTGCTCAGAATAACTTAGCGCAGCAGTTATTGTGTTTGGCTGATGTGTGTTTGAGCCCTGGCTGAAACTGGAGTGCCATTGGTTTCAACACTTGCTTTTACACCCCTTTTAACAGTCAACAAGTGGGGGCTTTTTATTGGCACGTGCTCTCTTTTCTGAGAAGCCATGCACTGAGAATAATCAAAAGATTTATGGCACAGATGGTTTTGTTCAATCCATTCACGTAAACATATTTTGAGCCACGTCAACATGTGTGCTGTGTCAGCGTGCCTTGCTGCATATTTAACTTCAGTCCTTAAACTTGCAGTGTCAGTCCGCTGAAATCATACTATATTAGAAAAAAAAGTTGGCTGGCTGAATTTCTGCCTGGATTCCTGGCTGGCCCGTAGCCAATTGCTCGCTGTGAGCTGAGGGAGAGATATAGAGGAGGGAGGTGAGGGAGATAGGGAGATAGGAGGCACATATAGGAGCGAGTATGAGACGGAAAGGAATGTTGAGGAGAGACCGGGGGGGAGAGAATGAAAGGGTGTGAAATGGAGAGGAAAGGGAGAGCAAAACGGAAAGAGGCGAGCGAGGGAAAGCGACAAGCAGTGGGAGGAAGGATTATGGAGAGGCAAGAGAGATTGAGATTGGAAATGGAGAGGTGGGAATAAGGAGATCAAGGATGAGAGAGAGAAACAGGGTGAGAGATGGGAGGGGGGAGTGTGTGAGATACGGTGGAGGGAGGAGAGGAATATTAGAGGATAGGAGAGGTAGAAGAGGGGACAGAAATAGAGAGAAATAGAAACAGACGAGAGAGAAATCGAGATACATTGGAATATACTGTAGAGAGTAGGCAAGAGAAAGGTAGAGAGATACAGGGCTCTATATAAGATACAAAGTTTTGCTAGCTGGCTTTCTAGCTGTGAGGGACCGACAGATGGTAATGTCTAAAGGACGTGCAAGTTGCTGGAATATTTCACAAAAATGTTTCGTGATGGTGAAATGGTGCCTGGACGTATGCTGCCTCATGCGATGGTCGCCACTCTGCGAATACAGAACCCATGGATAATTCAACTGCTTTTGATTGGCTCGTGGGGTGTTGGTCTATTCTGCTGGATGATAAGATCCAACCGTTCATTAAAAACTTAACCAAAAATACTTCAAACTTGAAAATATTTTCAGGAGGTTTCTCCATTTGGGATATTCTTGATAAATGAATTAAAATCATAATAAACCTATGCTGTTAAATAAAATTCACGGTTCTTTGTCAATCTACCGCTGGATGAGGGCCTCCCCGCGCCATATGGGTCGCAGGGGTTGTTTGATCATACTTCACTATACTAGTCACAGTAGCTCGCTGTAGAGGGGGCCCAAGACTTATTCAGCTATCTCCACCCATGTTAGCTGTGATTGGGAATCGAACTCAAGTTGCCAGGTTCACAGCGCAGTGTCCTAACGCACCGTACGTAGGCAAACGTGCTCATCGCAGGTGCGGTATATGATCTTGAGTCATCAATGCAAGAAGTATCTCGTTGCAGTTCAAGACAAGCGTATGTGTTGATGGATTGGCAAAGCAGCAGGTCGTCAATCTAAAATCGACTTTCGCCCTTGTTTGGCGAGTACCATAGAGATGGGCTTGCGCCCGCGTGTGCTGCTCCTGCGGTTGCCTACGCAGGCTCACCCTGCTCTACTCCACCACCGTGTTCCTGGCGAGGGAGGCGTTCCGGCGAGCCTGCCTGAGCCGGGGATCTTCCGCCGACTGGCGTCGCGTCATCAACCTCCTGTGGATGGCGTGAGTTCCCTTTGCCAAGACACCATGGCTCCCATTCCGCACACACCCTTCTTCCATTGGCACATTCAAGCCAGTGTGGTGCTTTCACTGTACGGGTTGATTTAAAGTCGCCGTTTGTCGTGCTATGCCAGAACCAAAGCATGATACGCCGGCCTCACAAGACATTTGAATCCAAGCAGGGCCAGGAACGTGGCTAGGCAGCGTCACTGCATCATCTGTGCGCGTCTCGACTCGTTAATTGAGTGTGATGTCACCGGCATGGCTTGGCTTCTGCAATAAAAAAAAACCTGTGGCCTATTGAGCCACACTGGGCTGGCTGGGCACGGCTCTCGATTAGAAGAATCTTGGTTTTCTTTGCCGTGCCAAAGCCTTCTTTAATTCCAAACAATTGTTGCTACTAATGTACAAAGCACACGTTGGAATACTGATGCCATGTCTGCGGTGATGCACTCAGTTCTTACCTACCTCGCTGTATTAAATATAATTCAATATAAAGCAGTCTGGCTGATTGATGATCCAGCACTCACTGATTCACTACAACCACTGTCTGACTGGTGGTCAGTCACATCATTATCACTAAAATAACTACCATGGTTACTTTCTGTGAACTTCACTCATTGATTGTTCCAACCATGTTCTGCCAGACTGACTGTTTCGTCTCGTCCGTACTGTGTCCAACCACCATAACATTTACCAACACACCCACCTGCCTATTTCCTCACCCAAGTGCTAAAACTGACTGTTTAATCTCATCCATACTGTGTTCAACCAGCCCACTGCAGGTCACAACACTTTTTCTGCTTCTTCTCTCACACTTTGGAAATTTCCTCCCATGGTCTCTTTCACCCAAGTTCTTCTAATAACTTTGCTCAATTCAAAGAACATGCTCTGCTCTTATCCATCACATAGCCACTTGTTATTTTGCGCCTTTTAAAAAATCGCACCATATGTTAAACTTCTTTCGCACCGTACGTAGCCCACCGTGCTAATCAGAGGCGCGCCGACAGATGCGCCACACGTGTGTGTGTGTGTTTGATCGTCGTCGCTTGCGTGCTGACTAACCGCACAGAGGGTTCCCCGTCCGGTGTGGTCAGGGTGCCGCTGGGGGCAGCATGCGCCGGAGCGCTGGGCTACGTGTGGGCCAGATGGCTTGAGGCCCCGGACGCGAAGCACGTGCCCGCCTACCCGGCCGCAGTGTGGGCGTTTGCGGTCTCGGCTGTTGTGGAGCTGCTGTCAGAGCCGCTCTGGGTGCTCGCTCAGGCGCACATGTTCGTGCGACTACGGGTCAGTGCCTAACCACTCCGACCCAGACACACATGCCTGTGTGACTACGAGTCAGTGCCTAACCACTCCGACCCAGACACACATGCTTGTGTGACTATGAGTCAGTGCCTAGCCACTCCGACCCAGACACACATGCTCGTGTGACTACGAGTCAGTGCCTAGCCGCTCCGAGCCAGGCGCACATGCTTGTGTGACTACGAGTCAGTGCCTAGCCACTCCGACCCAGACACACATGCTCGTGTGACTACGAATCAGTGCCTAGCCACTCCGACCCAGACACACATGCTTGTGTGACTACGAGTCAGTGCCTAGCCGCTCCGACCCAGACACACATGCTTGTGTGACTACGAATCAGTGCCTAGCCACTCCGACCCAGACACACATGCTTGTGTGACTACGAATCAGTGCCTAGCCACTCCGACCCAGACACACATGCTTGTGTGACTACGAATCAGTGCCTAGCCACTCCGACCCAGACACACATGCTTGTGTGACTATGAGTCAGTGCCTAGCCACTCCGACCCAGACACACATGCTTGTGTGACTACGAATCAGTGCCTAGCCACTCCGACCCAGACACACATGCTTGTGTGACTACGAGTCAGTGCCTAGCCACTCCGAGCCAGGCGCACACACTCATGCAACTGCGGGTCCGTGACTAGCTGCTCTGACCCAGGGTCGGGAGCGGTTTTGTTCCTTGATGCCTTCGCTTCGAGGAGAGGTTTTCAGTGAAAGTAGCACGTTGGCGAACAGTTGTCATCTTAGTAGTTTGTTACAGCGCCCTCAAGATTCCCTGAAACACCATTGCCATGATAAAATTGAGATGTGTATGGAAAAACCTGCCAACCTTATTATTTGACGAACCTGCAAAGTCTGCTGTTTTAAGAACTATCAAAAGCCCAGCATGTAAAATGCCCCAATACATTTTTACATACAGAGCAATCCAAGCCCTTTATGTATGTATGTATGTTGAACTGCTTTCGCACCGTACGTAGCCAACCATGGTAATCAGAGGTGCGGGGGACGGACAACAAACTTAACAAGAGAAACCCTTGGTCTTTTTTTTTCAGATTCAACAAAGCTCCTTATTTGCAGCAGCCCCCAGACCTCTTACTTTAAAGAATCCCTCCCAAGTCGCAAATGGGCCTTGACGTGAAACACCTTCCCCTCTCCCTGTACCTTGTGAGTCTCAGGTGTGTGCGGAGAGCCTGGCGTTGGGCAGCAGGAGCATCCTCACCGTGGTGTTGGTGTTCCTCGTGCCGCACTGGGGCCTCTGGGTTTTCGCTTTGGCACAGGTGCCCACATCAGGCACAATACAGGACACCTTGACAACGCTGGCAAATTCAGCATGATATGATAAGGCCACTTTAAAGGTATTAGAGATGCACCAGAAGGAGCCTGGCTTGCCTGAATCGTGATGCTAATGTATAACAGCCCTTATGAGAGTCACGGGGCCAGCACCACTGACATTCTTAATTTGATTTAAGATTGTCGAGTTTATGCTTGTAGATTAGTTCCTTAATTGCTATTAATAAGTATTATGCTTGTTTACCTTAGAAAGCCTCACTGAGTCTCGTGACTCTTTCACATGGGGCTCCTTCCAGGTTTTTTGGAGCCGGGCGCGATGATTGCCACGTATCATCCCGATTGAGTTATTTTGTAGGAAAGTTTTCAAATTTTGACCCTGACGCCGTCGCACATTGGCCTACGTCAAGTGATCTTTAACAGCCGCAGTGCAGCAACGACGACCGTTCTTACGGTTGACACACACCTGACTAAAAAAAACAGTGCACCTGCTGGTTTCAAACCATGTTCCCTTGTAACAAGCGGCGAACACGCCATCGCTAGGACATGTCACTGCACCAAGCTAATCATCATCAGCCACGATCAATCCACAGACGCAGGCCACCCCAAGCTGCTGTCACCTACCAAGATCCTGCGATGCGCAACAATCCATTCGGCACCTACATGTGATTATTGTCATCGCTCCATCACCACTCCGGTGGACCCAGGGATGAACCGTAGACATTAGTTTCCCCACTGAAAATCCCTATGGAAAAGAGGGAAGAGACTATGATATACTTGGGTGCAGCAGTGCATCTCATTAATATTTATCTCTTGTCGACAGTGCTCCCATTTGTAGCTCTTATCTTTGTTTCTCCTTCATCTCAGTTATCCGCATTTCTTTGTCTCGTTGCATATCTCTCGGAGGGCCGTAACTCTGCAAGACCTTCCAAGAGTCTTCGTTTGTCACTTCTTGTCCACCAGCTAGCAGTTGAGCAACCCTGTGCCAGACCATCTGTGTAGCCTACAGCATTGCATATTCACTGTGGAACCCCGTGCTGTGTGCAGCTGATGTATGCAGTTGTCCTGTCCATCTGCTACTACGTCTACTTCACCCTCTACATCGGCTCTACAGCCGCCAAGGATAGCCACTTTCCCATCAGCTCTGTCCGCCAGATGTTCTTCACTTGGGGCACTCAGGTGAGGCCACACTCTGCACTGCTTGCACCCACGTGCATCATACGTTAAGCAGCCAATGATGACAGCGGTTCACGATGTACTTACGTGTGTTGAACCTCTTTCGCACAGTACGTAGCCAACCTCGCTAATCGGAGGTCCACATCAAAATCACTGAGCCGTTCACTCAGCGTTATGGCCTGTCTATGTTAAACAATCGGTTGCGCAACTGATTGCAATTGTTTGCAGAGGATGTCCACATGTAAACGATTCGGGTGCACGCAACCAAGTGGCACAACCGATTCCCCAGGTGTGGATCCTTTTGAAAATTGCAATTTAATCTCAAGACACTAGAAAATTTCAACAAATATACTACATCAGGATGGAATAGGACGGGAATTGAATGAGAGAGGGGAGAGAGTAACACAGCAGCACAGCCTCGGACCAAGCATTTGAGGCCCAGCAGCAATAATGATCAGTTATGCGTGCGTTTATAATGATTGTGGGTATTTTTCAAAGTTGGGGTTTTGTGCCTGTGAATGGGGATGCTTGTGCCTGTGAATGGGGATGCTTGTTTTGCTTTTAGCTATCGGCAGTTTTTTTGCTGGGTTACCACAAGTGAAGCTTCGCACACAGACCAAGGTTCATTTGCCTTCTGACTCTGTTCAGTCTGTTGAAAACATGGCCATTGCCCCAAGCGTTAGTTTATCAGCACTATATTTACATATAAGCCAGTGTCGTTAATCACCAATCGTGGTGAATTTATGTTCGCCTGTGCACTTTATTAAGTCTCCAGAAGTTACTGGGAGACCGTGATAATCGATGTGTTGAATCTGTGCAAGCTAGCCAAATGGAAAACATTATGACCATTCTATTTGACTGGCAGATCACCTTTACATATGCTCTATCTCAGGGGTCGGCAACCAACATAAAATTAATAGCCATTTTTGTTTGTTTATTTAGTTAAAAAAAACCCTCAATGTTCCAAGAGCCGCAATGCATGTGTAATGACGACTTGACACACTTCTCTTGAGATGGAACTTTATTGAAGACACGTTCACTTGACATCAGGCGGAGACCCCCACTGCAACAGCCTCGAGTCTCCCGCGCATCTTCCCCTTATATAGCAACACGAGGCCACGCCCCCCTTCTCGATCATTCTCGCTGACTGAACGCTCGCTCATCCGGCAGACTCTACCGTCCTCTTCCGTCACCTGATCACTCTCCCTTCTATAACATTCCTGTAGCTACCAGTCCCTTCTCACTCACAACTGATACCCCTGTCATTACCTCCCATGTCCACGAGTGTATTCGCACTGTCGGCTGATTTCCCTGTCATTTTCTCCCGTGGCCGCTAGTCCCCTCACACAGCGTGCAGGCTCTATTGTCATTACACACGAAAATAACGCCACAAAGCAGTCCTTAAAGAGCCGCACGCGACTCCGGAGCCTCAGGTTGCCCACCCCAGCTCTATCTTCATCATCATTCTCTCCATTAATACAATGGGGAACCTTTTCCTGTCTCACCCGCGTAGCCTGTGTGACTGGCCTGTGTGAATGGCCCGTGTGATGGGCCTACTATAACTGCGTGTTTGTGCAATGCAGCCATTTGAATGGGCACTCGTCACTTTGACTAGGAGCTTCCTGATGCAATCCTTCCTGAAGCAACTTCTCACTGAAGGTACCTAGCCTGTGTTTATCCTCTCGCACAAAACGATCCCTACATATGTATTCAATAATAGAGTACGTTTTACATGTTTTAAAGTGTGGGGCCTTTTTGTGTATATTTTATTTCATATAAAGCAACCTGAGAAGCCTTTATTGATGTGAAGTGTGAAAAAAGTGAGATTGATGGATTACACATACAGCCCTTGTGTCAATGCATTGCCATATGAGGGCCTCCACGCACCTTATAGGTCATGGGAATTATATGACCATACTTCACCACAGCAGTGAGTGGTCCACGAACCCTTGCATCAAACACGAAGGCTTACAGGCGTGTGTCACCACACCGAGTAAAAATGCAGTCAATGTCAGTTGTCTGATGATAGAGCCCAAAAGAAGCAACTGCGCAGACACAGTTCTGTAATATCATCTTCTGGAAGTGCGTTGATGTACTGCTCGCTGTGAATGATTGTGATGCCTGTTCATTAATCCCTGGGAACTGAAATGCCATATGCGTACAATGTTGTGTTTTGTTCAATTATGTATGGCCAGACTAAGACACTTAGCTTCACTCCTCAAAAGAACCTGGTTTAATCGCAGGATTCAGCATGAGGGTCTCATCATTGCTGGCTCATTAGAAGGTCCATAAGCATTTGCCTCCCTAACCACCAAGTCACATGACCAAGTGTGTGTGTTTGCCTTGTTTCTCTGCTAGGGGAGAAATACATCATGACTTTCTTCAATGTCCTCAACTTTGGAGATCAAGGTTGAATACTGATTTGTTTTTTACTTATATGTAACGTACTGTGAGTGTTTGGGGCATGTTGTGATGTTACGGTGTGCTGCGGTCCACTGCGGGTTGTTTTGGGAAGTTGTGACATGTTGAAAGACGCTGCACGTTGTTGTGAGGTCTCGAGGTGCATTGAGATACGTTATTAAGCATCGTAGTAGCAGTGCTAGTGAACTATTATTTCACTAGGAGATGGAAATGAATATGTTAGGATGACATGAAACAAACTCTGATCTGCTGTGGTGCCCAAGGTTAAATTATAATTTTTACGTCAAAATTATACAGGTTAAACAAAGCATAAATAACACATCTGAACAACAAAACTAGCAACGAATGTGAAATTGTACATTAAATTCCGAATTGTTAAAAATCTAATCATGAATTAAACCAGATGTTATATTTGTCATCAAATATAAAAAACACAATAGGGATGATGCTGTGGTGTAATCATGAGCAGAGGCCACAGGTCCAGTTAAATCGCCTGGCGTGGTCGTTCATTCAATAGTTGACATTTATTCAATCCCCTGCCTCTGTCCGTCCCTGCAGAAATATAAATGGGCACGCCACAGTTAAACGATCGGCATGGGTGGGGTAAAGTGTAGGTACTCCCACTGTGTCTGGCCAGCAATGAAGAGTAGGCCAAGCACCCTTTTGCGGGGCTCTGTAGAGCTCTCTCTCTTGGACGCGCTTCTGCGAGAGGAACTGGTGCGAGGGAGCAATTGCGGAGCTGCGCCTTTGTCATTTTTGAGTCGCATTGATTTTTGTCTCCTGGTGCTCCAGTTTTTCCCTCCACATTTAAAAACATGCGTTTAGAGTATTTGGCTGCTATAAATTTCCACTTGATAAGGCCACTTTGTTGAGCGATCATCTGTGGCCAGGTCACTTCTGAAAAGAAGCAAAGCAGCTCAGTTGGGCCTAACCTGGAAAAATAAAAAATAGTTTATTTTTATTTTATTTTCATTTACATGTGTTGCACCTTTTTGCCACAAACCTAACCACTCAAAGCGCCACCATCACATTTACAACAATACGTGATGCGCTGTGGAGCGCTCCAAAGCGCCGCGAGGCTGTGAGAGTTGCCGGCTCGTGCTGAGATGAGGCGGCGGTCTGTGCAGGCATCTACGACGTGGTGAACAACCTGGGCTCCATGGTGCCGCGCTTTGTCTTCCTGCCCATTGAGGACAGCTTCTACGTCTTCTTCGCTCGCTCGCTCATCCGTGGAAAGATTGCCATGCAGCAGAACGAGGTGTGGATCGGACTGCGCATTTCGCCTCCCGAGTTCGTGTACGCGCGATACTGCGCGCGATGTAGGTGTGGGGAGCGGTAGTGTAGTGGTTAGCACACTGCGCGATGAAGCCGACATCCCCGCTCACCGGTGATGATTATCTGCATTGGTCCTGGGCCTCCCCGAGGTCGGCTCAGCCTCAAATGATTGCCTGGTGCGGTGTCTAAAAAGCATCGCCACTGGGGAGACGGCGGTTAGACGTGGTGCTGGCCACCCACTCCCTCGTGTGCTGTGCCGGCCTTCATAGGTGCTCGCTAACAGCACTTGCCCCAGCAGTCTGTTAAGGCTATACTGGGGATCTCTGTCTTTGTAGGCTTGTAATGATTTTCTGTTTCAATCGTTTATGATTTCACGTGTAGATTTGCACGAGGAAGAATAAGTCATTGGCAATGAATGCAATTTTTTTTGGAAATGGTGCCTGTAGGCCATGGTGGAGCAGAAGAAGTGGGGACAAACATGATACCAAAACAGATCTCAAAATCGAGAAGGTACCAATGAGACACGTTTACTTGGAATCAAGTTGTGACCCTCAATTGTCACAATTCAATAGGTTTGAGGGGGTGGGGTTGGTGGATTGTTCTTTGGCTGCTAGGGTAGTGACTAAATTATGGCCCCAGTGAAACGGATTTGAATTTAGGACATGCACAGCACCAGTGGTAATTGATATTTTTATGTAGCCTACGTACAATTGGCCTAAATTGAGTATCCGGTGCAGTGGCCCGGTCAACATCAGTTCCAGGGGGTAACAAAGGCAATCGTACGTGTGTGTTGCTGAACTATTGACCCCTTCACGTGCTATGTAAGACTTGATAAGCTCTTACTCACAGCACTTGCACCAACAGTCAAATAAAGATACATGGGAAACTGTTTTCTTTTTTTGGTGATTGACATGGTGTGTTGTACACCCTTTTTTCTGTATTCCTTATACCCAACACCAGGGACAATTGTAATCTGAAACGTGGCCTAGACCTCCAGGTCAATTCAGCATAACAAATAAAAGTAACTGCTGTAGTGTGTGAACAGCAGCACTGGGGAGACACTGCTGGTGGTGGTGCTGGCCCCTCAGCCGGCGTGCGTGCCTCCACTGCCCTCAATAGGTGCTCACTAACAGCACCCTCCCCCGTGCGGCTTTGCTGGCAGGATGACATCGCCATCATGGCCAAGGTGCTGCAGTCACTGCTCAAGCTGGTGCTGCTCATCGGCGTCACCGTCCTCACGTTCGGCTTCTCGTACTCGTACCTGGCGCTCGACCTGTACGGGGGATCGCTGCTCAGCTCCAGCGGCGGTAACCAGCAACATCCTTGGCGTGTTTCCGATCTGTCATTCGGCTTTACTTAATTAAAGGGTGCTGTGGTGGCAGACGAATGCCCCTAGTAACTCTTGCAAATTAAACTCTCCTGGTCTCTTTGTGGTGAAAAAATAAACTTGAAATTTTTTGAACAGGGTCATGTGGCCATCATGGCAATATCGCAGCATTTTTGGGGCGTTAACAAGCCCTCGCTAGCTCATTTGCTGCTTTTTGGTGCAATCGGAGGCGCATTCACCACTTTGCACCTCTGATTAGTGCCTCCGATTAGCACGGTTAGCTACTTAGGGTGCAAAAGAAGTTCAAGATACATTGTTGCAGAGGTTCATAGTTTGAATCTGCTTATGGGTATATGAACCGTGAAAAAACACGCCGTCACCTTTACATTAGACGCTAATGTCAGTCGCATTGTGTGCTGGCGTCATGGTCGAAATAAAAAAAAATGCCCACAAATTACTAGATTGAAATATATACACAGCAATTGTCACCCCTACTGCAGAACCCTCCTGAAAAAGTTGTGAGACTCGGCGAGATATTCCTGCGTAAACAAACAAAATAATTACACAAAAGCACGGGATGGTTTAAAAAGTGAAACGGCCATCCACTGAGATAATAAAAAAATATTCTCATGTACAGTAGTCCCATTAAGAAAGACATCATCGGCGCAGTCCATAGCATGGGAGATGGGATTGCGTTTCTTTCATGTAAAAACTCATCAGCCGGTCATGAGCGGCAATGACCACGCGTCTGAGCCATGCAGTAGCTGTATGGTGTCGTGTAATTTTGTACATTCTGACCCGGGTGGTGAATTCTCTTGAGCAGGGCCGATGTTGCTGCGCTGGTACTCCGCTTACGTGCTGTTCTTGGCGCTGAATGGCATCACAGAGTGCTTCGTGTTTGCTGCCATGGAGCAGAGCGAAGTGGACAGGTGAGAGAGCCCTGCTGGACTTGGTTGTGCTTGGCCAAGGTCAAGTACTCATGGCGAGTGCTCTTGGCGGCAAGCAACACAGCTCGCCATCGCTTGCTTCCTTCTGCTCCGTCCCATAGCTGCAACTACGTAGCCACCTAACCAGTCGTAAAGTTAATTATAATTACGATACAGAAGCGTTTTTATAGTTGAAATTCCAGTTATATTACAACTGTGATTTATTGTGATTAGAGTACCTCTACCTTACACGTAATATTTCGCCTTTGACATGTGCAATCAATGATTTAATTGATCAAACTACTGTGCGTGTTGTCAAATCATTTAATCTTCCTAGTCATATAAATAAATCTGTTTTCAAGATTTGCTATCTTAGGTTGTACCAATTACTGCTCTGACTCAAGGATTATAGATGGGGGCTCAGTGCTGTGATAAGATAATAACCCCCTCTAAACTACCTGGCCACTTCAAAGTGTAATATTATTGAAATTTTTATGAGGAGGCATGTGTGTAAAATTTTTTATATTTACTGAAATGTTTTTCTCTTGACAAATTCCAAACAAAATCGCTCTCAATTCAACCTTTAGGAGTGACCAGAAGACTGTCCAGCCACTACAGTTCTTAAAAAAAAAATCTGAATCAGAATATCTGTTTATGCTGGAGGAATCCGATGAGCTATGAAGCTCTGTTTCACACACGTCCAGTCGTGTTGTTCTGACCTTGTGTTGCTAGTGGCTTCGTTCCGCTTGGCCCTTAAATGTTAATACTGATGCGGTCAACTACGCAGTAAGGTTGCTCCGCAGCAAAATAACATTGTGGTACCGTTTCCACGCGTGTTCATGTTCGCACACACGTACATGCGCACACACGCAGGTACAACATGAGACTCCTGGTCCTCTCGGTGGTGTTCCTGGTGCTGTCGTACGCGCTGACGCGAGCATTCGGCTCCGTGGGCTTCGTGCTCGCTAACTGCCTCAACATGGCCCTGCGCCTGGCCTCCAGCCTGAAGTTCATCGCCGCCTACTTCCGCGACACGCCGCACGAGCCGCTCGCCGCGCTGCGCCCCAACCTCGCCCTCGCGTTCACGTTTCTCTGCAGTTGGGCCATCACCGCCTACTCAGAGGTAGCACGGCTTCACCATCGCCGTCATCGTCATCATCATCAATGCCATCAAAGGGCTGTGACCTGGTCCAGCGATAGCACATGTGTGAATGAATTCAAACGGCGTATAACAGAATCACGTATCTACACAAATAACGTACTCCCCAGAGTACATTTTGGGAGTGTGTTTGCCTCTTCGGAGCGTATTATAGTCCAGACAATACGGTAACTAAAATACGTTTTAGGCCATCAGCCTTTTCAGACCAATATTATCCAGCAGCATTTGTTTAAGCAAGTAAACTCTCCACTGGTTTCGACCTTCTAGGTCTCATCAGCAGTCGGGCTTGTTTAACAAATACTGTTGGATTATCAGATATTATTAGCAAGCGCATGACATATAATCTGTAGGACCCTGTTGAACTCAAAAGTAATACCGTACTCACAAACGCATTATGAGTTTCCATGGAGCATTGTGGGTAAAACCATGCTTTCCCCAGTTGTGCTGCATAGAGTCTGATGTAGTTTCTGGTTGTACTGCGTGTTCTTTGCATGATGTTCGATGTTTCGCTCCATGTGTGAGGAGCTTCTCCAGGAACTGGAAATTACGAGGTGCAGCCCGAGAACGCCTCAGAGATCTTCATTACTGTTTGGTTCTTTCGGTAAAGTCATGTAGGTATAAAATAAATCACGACGTTTCGGGCGCAACCCAAGCGTCCGTCATCATGTGGGAAAGCATGATCTGCTGCTGATGCAGACTGTTTTAAAAGGTTTGAAATGGGTGTAGCCCAAGGGTCATAAAGAAGTGGGTGGGGCTAGTGATGTTAATGTGAGAAATTAGCATGTTAATGTAAGATCAAAGAGTGGTGCAATCCAAAGGCATGATGGCGCAATCCAAAGGACATGTGAGCATGAGAGTGCAATCCAAAGGCATGTGTGTGCAATCCAAAGGACATGTGAGCATGAGAGTGCAATCCAAAGGACATGTGAGCATGAGAGATCTAAGAGAGAGGCATAGAGAGAGACACACAGAGAGTCGGAAATAACAGCTGACCTAGGCAGGTAGGATGGAAACATCAGTCAGTTAAGACTTTACCTGATTAATAACAATGATTGCTCAGTTTGTATCCATCTTCTCGGTTGAAGTTGTGTCTGTGTTTATATATCTGGATGGCTTCATGGACAAATCTCTGAAGGTAGCCAGTAGGTTTGCAGATCTTCATTGTTATATCCATTGCAATTACAGTTTCTTTGTCATAATGATCACCACTATCATCGTCACTGAGTTTGGTAATAGTCACAGATCCACTTTAATATTGCTTTGTTAACCGAAGCCGCACAACGCACTGGATACAGGATTAGTTAACGTTTTGTAAATTTCCGGAATTTTTTTCCAAGTTTGTTTGATCGTACCTTTCCAGGGTTGAATAATGCCTTTTGTAAATCTTCCAAAAGTCTGCCAACTGACATTTACCACTTGACATCCTTAAATTTCACGACCGTTAAGTGATCATCACATGCAAAGACTGGCCCTGCCATATCAATTTGACGTTTATACCACTGGCTCAGGGTCACCAATGGAGATGAGTTTGTGTGAGCAGGAATGTTGCGGGGACGCTCGTGCTCATCATCTTGGTCTCGTCGCGTCTCTTCTCTCTGCAGTCGGTGCTGTGCTGTGACCACGGCGTGGTTCCACGCCTGCTTCATGTCGCCCTGGGAGCCGCGTGCCTGTTGGCCGTCGTCATCATGACTGCCCGCACCGAACGCGAGCTCGTCTCGTTTGTATGGCAACAGTTCCTACCCACGTTTTTCCAAACAAAGCAGAGCTGACTCTCAACCACCATCTCTCTCGCATATATATGGAGTTTTATATTTGGAGTTTGCTTGGCTCTCTCACCATGGTCGTGTGGCTTTTTCTCCGGATCCTCCATTGTTTCCCTCCACATTTGGAATCAACATGCGTTTAGAGTATTTGGCTGCTATACATTTCCATGTGCTAAGCCACTTCATTGAGCTATCATTTGTGGCCAGGACGCTTCTGAAAAAGAGCTACATAGCAAAGTGGGCCTTACCTGGTAAAATAAAAATAGTTAATAGTTAGCCTCCCACTTCGGTCCTCAGGGCCCGGTTACAATAAATTAAATGGGTTTCCCTTTTCTATTCCCATCTATTTTGTAACTTGATGCCCTGGACCTCTTTGTGCCTGTGCTCCCCAGTTCTTGTTGCTCTGGCTGCACACTCAGTAGCTAAAATGTTAGCTCCAGTTTAGCAACTGGGGGGAAACACAGTTGAATCCAAGAGAAGCAACAGCGTTTACAATGTCAAAGGTGAGACGTCATTGAGATTCGCCATTGCTTTTACAAGTGAGACCATTGTGACACTGGTTAAATATGATGGGGTTTTTGGTTTTTTTCTTTTTATTCAGATTCACCCTTGGCCACTGGCACACCATGGCCTATTGCAGCATGTTCTTGTGACCTCTTTAAAGACCCAGTTACTGTGCAAGCCATCCACTGCTGCTGACGTAGTGAACTCGGTTTGCAGTTGCCGTGTTACTTTACTGCCACGTCTTTTTTTCCGAATGTTAACATTTTAAAAACTGGTCGCCAGAACAGGCTGCCTTTTGTAATGTAAGCTTTCTGTTAGAATACTTTCAGGCTGTGATGGCATTATTGCTGTGTGCATTATTTTTGCGATGCTCTGCACACATTTTACCAGCTCATGGCAGGTGAGGGTGTGGGGCCTGCATTATGAACGCATTTAGGCAGTGTCAATTCGTACGCCTATCGAGTGGGGTTGTTAAAATCCGTTTTTTTGTTGCACGACCGGTAACCGTATGAACAAAAAATACGGTTACCTGTTTGCGCTGCACAAATAAAAATGCCTCGCAAATAAACTAAACGTGTCCACCTTTTTAACTGAGAAATGTAAGGAGCTGCCAGAGTAGTTGTAACAATTGAGTAACCCCTCCCACCGCTGCCTCTGTCCATCCAACAGTATAAATGGATTCACCACAGTTGATTGGCAGGTCACGTGTGGTGGGGGTAAAGTGTAGGTACACCCAACTCTTCCAAGATGTCTGGTTAGCATGTAAGATGAGACCACATACCCCTCTAGGGCTCTCGAGTGGATGCCCTTCCACCAGCAGTGGCGTGCACAAGCGAGAGCAATCGCAATTGTGGCTTCGGCCACGATGCCATTTGTACATTGTGTGCCAGTCAGTGCATTCGCTCCTCACATTATTTTGGAAGCGGTTACCATTTGCCAACTTTCAGAACCGCTAATCTATTTAGTTCTTACTGGCTTTCGTTTAACAACCCAATCTAAAGAGGCATCAAAACGCATGGGATAGACTGTTTATAAAAACAGCTCTGGGTACAATTGTGGCGTTAGAGTAGCAAGGCTATACTGTACTGAAGATCCCTAAAAAGGGTGAAACCGTTTTGCAGATGCCGTGTTACTTAGGTGCCACCAGAATTTTAAAGACCAAAATTTTCTACCACTGATGTCCACCGGCTAGGTTGGACTGCTGTGCACTAGTAGCAGTGTTCTCTAGTGAGCTCACAAGGCATTGTTGGGGGCTTTCCCATAATGCAGTACAGCCTAACTATGGCCACAGTTCTAACATTTGTGTAAATTGCTGGTTTAAAACAATGCTGTGTGCTTTACACACACAACTTTTGTTAATGCCACCTGTAATGCAAGGCACGATTCATCCTAGATTTGAAGCTTTCGTGACTGCAAGGATCCATACTCTTTGGTTCTATTCGGTAAAGTCACGTAGGTAAAAAATAAAACAACAAAAATCACGACGTTTCGGCCACACAACACAAGTTGTGTGGCCGAAACGAAACGTCAAAAATCACGACGTTTCGGCCACACAACACAAGTTGTGTGGCCGAAACGAAACGTCGTGATTTTTGTTGTTTTATTTTTTACCTACGTGACTTTACCGAATAGAACCAAAGAGTACGATTCATCCTATGGTCCAGTTGAGCTATTTACTGACTAAATTACCTTTTGCATGAATACTCTTGTATTTTCCCGCCTCCAAACACTTTTATGTCTAATACGTTTCTTGTCATGGACAAAAAGTGCTAGAATTTGTTTGGTTATTTTGCTGTGTTTGTGCGTGCTACACAATGATCTAATCTTTGCAGTACTACTTTTGATTATATTCTTAGCTCTTCCGGTAAAGTCACGTTGAAGGGAAACAATAAAATAATAAAATATATATAAAACAATAAAAATTATCACGTTTCGACCATAACACAAACGGTCGTCATCAGGTGTGAAAAAAACAACGGCAAGAAACATTTGAAAGAAGTGGCGGTTTTTTCACACCTGATGACGACCGTTTGTGTTATGGTCGAAACGTCGTGAGAATTTTTATTGTTTTATATATATTTTATTATTTTATTGTTTCCCTTCAACGTGACTTTACCGAAAGAGCTAAGAATATGAATTACTGCAGTCACGAAAGCTTTAAATCAAAATACTTTTGATTAATTCACATATTTAAACAAGTCAAATTCATTCCACAATGATTAATTCACAGCTTTCAATCGGCATTTTGTTTTGTTTATTGTGATGTTTTATTTGTTTGCGGTGGGAGCCGCAGTTACTCACGACGTCCCAGTTTATACACACACACGCAGGGAAGCCAAGGTGGGGGGGGGCGTGTAAAGTGACGAACGTAGAATAATAACACCAAACACTTTCATCCGTTGTCACCGGCGTCTTCAAAATGCAAATCGAGAGAATATTTTGCGCCAGCGCATTAAAATGCACCTTACATCACGTGCACACAAAATAAACGCCATACTGTTTTCACCCCCTCCATTAAAGTGCCCATTTGCAATCATGGTTGAGGAAGCAAACGTTGATTTATTTAAAAACGTACTAAGGTTTTATTCGTTTTTCATGTGTTTACACCTTGTTCTGGTTTTGCTGTACAACACACCCTCCATTATTCCAAAGTCTCCCTTGCAAGAAATATGTTGTCTCATTGGGCTCTCACCTGCGCTGAATAAAGTAAATATATGTACAGTTGTGTGAAAATAGTTTGGTGAGTAGCGATTGATTATGGGAGTGCGTAGAGCTGCTTGATGGTGCATTGGGTGCTTGCTGGATTGTTTGGCGAGTGCAGGTCTTGATATTCACCCTTTTGATATCGAATAATTAAATGTATACACCTTACATTTATTTGATAAATCTATTTGTATTAAATATTTGTCATGAAATAAAAATAGCATGAAAAGAAAATCGTGGCCAAGTGGCTTTGTGGTCAGAGTTCAAATCGACGCAGTCACCCATGATTAAACGCACTTCTCGGCTGAAGTGAGTAAATGGCCTTGGCATATCCAGAAACGACTACTTGATTTGGCAAAATTCAACTCTGCAATGCGATGGACATCTCTCTATAGCAGGGTGCGAGGGGGAGTACAGCACCCCTCGTGTGAAGTTTTTTGAAGGAATCTCAGAAGTAGTTCTGTGATATAAACTTCTCCACGGGCTATCCTGTCTGTAATAGGGTGATACACTGCCGCGTGAAATTTCCGAATGGACATTCCTTTATGTCATGGTGTAGATAACGCAGTTGGAATACAATTTCTGAAAATAAATATTGAACAACTCGAAAATCTTTTTTCAGTTGGGGTGGAATTGTTTTCCGCAAAATGATTGGCAAGCTGTAGTGTGAGCTTTGTTGACAGATGGTTTCTTTAAAAAATCTATAATATTTATATGTTTACATTGATTGTTATAAGCTTTCATAACGTTTGTGTAGGAAATGTACGCCAGTAGGCCTTGCCGCATAGGCTGTACTGTTACACACCTAGGCGTTGTGTCGGCGTTGTATCTAGTATACCAGGAGAACGACGCGATTGTGGTTAGAGGACTGAACTTATGGTTACTGTGAGCAAGATTTATTCCTGGCTGCACCATCGGCACTCTGAACCTGTCGTATGTGCCTTTAGGTCCGCTCAACATAAAATATGCATTTCAAACATCGTGTCGGTATCAGCATTGGAGAGACAAAGGTGGCGGGGCGAATGCCTTTTACTGTGGCAGCCGTATAACAGCTGTTCGCCAGCAGCACTTTTCCCATCAGACTATAAATTATACACGTAAAAATATATTTATTGAATGCTTAAGCCAAGCTATTTACAGCCCATTTACAGGAACCCACCAACCAGATCACAAGATTACAATGGTGTGGTATGTTTGGAGTGGGGTAGAAAACCGACGGCAGCCCAGGTAAGATGGGGTTGGTGTCATGTTATATTATAGTTTGTCAAAAATTAATTGAAACAGAATAGGCCATGACTAAAAACAATGCAATCTGCTGGCTCAGACAATGCAAACGACTGTGTAAGCTTGTAAACTGAAGCAAAAGCAGTCTTAGGTTAAACGCTGTAAAGGTGAAAAGTTAATCAATAAGATACTTAAGATTTAATTAAACGGGCATAATTGAGTCATTTTTGTAGCTATTCGGCTGTAAATGCAAATAACCATTGTAGTTTAAATGCAGGTTTTTAAGCCTAGATGACTGTATAATAGATGCTTTGATGGTAAAAACTTCCAATGTATAAAAGTACATTTATTTTGTTATTAATATTCCCCACGATGGCACTAACGATTACTTTGAGTTATGTAATACCAATGTAGACTGTACTAATCAGGATGAACAGCTCTGTATACCTGGTAAGCTTTTATTATTCATAACCTTTATCTAAAATCCTAGTACCCAGCTGACGCAGCCTGGTGGTGGGTGCACCATTTCATGCAAAGAGGCCGGTGCCCACCACAGTAATGTGGCCAATGTGGCATTTTCTGCCGCTGCTTCAATTACTGAAGGTGGAAACATGCGTTGGAGTCATTAACATTGATTCTGAAGAACCCAATATACGCATTAAATCACATGCGTAAAAGTTGACGTATTTTTATTCGTTATACGTTGTGTGCAATGGGTTCGTCACTTCTACAGCCGTTATACAGTGAGGGAAAAAAGTATTTGATCCCCTGCTGATTTTGTACGTTTGCCCACTGACAAAGAAATGATCAGTCTATAATTTTAATGGTAGGTTTATTTGAACAGTGAGAGACAATAACTAAATCCAGAAAAACGGATGTCAAAAATGTTAAAATTTATTTGCATTTTAAGGAGGGAAATAAGTATTTGACCCCCTCTCAAACAGAAAGATTTCTGGCTCCCAGGTGTCTTTTATACAGGTAACAAGCTGAGATTAGGAGCACACTCTTAAAGGGAGTGCTCCTAATCTCAGCTTGTTACCTGTATAAAAGACACCTGTCCACATAAGCAATCAATCAGATTCCAAACTCTCCACCATGGCCAAGACCAAAGAGCTCTCCAAGGATGTCAGGGACAAGATTGTGGACCTACACAAGGCTGGAATGGGCTACAAGACCATTGCCAAGCAGCTTGGTGAGAAGGTGACAACAGTTGGTGCGATTATTCGCAAATGGAAGATCTCACCTCGTGGAGTTACAATGATCATGAGAACGGTGAGGAATCAGCCCAGAACTACACGGGAGGATTTTGTCAATAATCTCAAGGCAGCTGGGACCATAGCACCAAGAAAACAATTGGTAACACACTACGCCGTGAAGGACTGAAATCCTGCAGCGCCCGCAAGGTCCCCCTGCTCAAGAAAGCACATATACATGCCCATCTGAAGTTTGGCAATGAACATCTGAATGATTCAGAGGACAACTGGGTGAAAGTATTATGGTCAGATGAGACCAAAATGGAGCTCTTTGGCATCAACTCAACTCGCCGTGTTTGGAGGAGGAGGAATGCTGCCTATGACCCCAAGAACACCATCCCCACCGTCAAACATGGAGGTAGAAACATTATGCTTTGGGGGTGTTTTTCTGCTAAGGGGACAGGACAACTTCACCGCATCAAAGGGACGATGGACGGGGCCATGTACCGTCAAATCTTGGGTGAGAACCTCCTTCCCTCAGCCAGGGAATTGAAAATGGGTCGTGGATGGGTATTCCAGCATGACAATGACCCAAAAACACGGCCAAGGCAACAAAGGAGTGGCTCAAGAAGAAGCAAATTAAGGTCCTGGAGTGGCCTAGCTAGTCTCCAGACCTTAATCCCATAGAAAATCTGTGGAGGGAGCTGAAGGTTCGAGTTGCCAAACGTCAGCCTCGAAACCTTCATGACTTGGAGAAGATCTGCAAAGAGGAGTGGGACAAAATCCCTCCTGAGATGTGTGCAAACCTGGTGGCCAACTACAAGAAACGTCTGACCTCTGATTGCAAACAAGGGTTTTGCCACCAAGTACTAAGTCATGTTTTGCAGAGGTGTCAAATACTTATTTCCCTCATAAAAATGCCAATCAATTTATAAAATTTTTGACATGCGTTTTTCTGGATTTTGTTGTTATTCTGTCTCTCACTGCTAAAATAAACCTACCATTAAAATTATAGACTGATCATTTCTTTGTCAGTGGGCAAACGCACAAAATCAGCAGGGGATCAAATACGTTTTTTCCCTCACTGTAAGCACTGCTATTCAATGACTATCGAAACAAATCTCAACTCTGAATCTCCAGGTGGTGGTGATGAATCTCACCACCCCTAATAAATACCAGCACAGGCATGCGTTGCCTGCAGGGTCGGTGGATTAATGTGAACCTGACTTCAGTAAAATTATGCAAAAAAAATACAAGAAACTTCTGGATTATGAAACTCAGGGGTAGAGCCCTGGCACAGTGGTTATAAAACTGCATACTATGCAGCCGGTTTTCTTCGTACAATTCCTGACCGTGGCTAACATCAGTGGCGAGTGATATCTGAACCGGTCCTGGGCATCTCTCTACCCACCAACCCACACCGACCAACATGATGGAAGTGTGGTCAAACATCTCCCAACGACGGACAAGGCGTCAGGAAGGCCTTCATCCAGCAGTGGATTGACAAAGGGCTGTAAATTAATGTCGCGATTATTAAAACCGGACAAGGATAGTGGCTGGAACTTAATTACCGGGAGGGCTGTGGTCAATGACCACCAGGCTCGGGTGATATGTAAAGTAGGGCTATATATATCGCCATGCAGGTTCCATTTGGTCAGCAGCTCTTCGAGGTGGCGGTGTTGTATTGTGTTATGCTGATACAGAGATTTGTATTACAGATGCGTCACTGGCAAAACGTGGGCGATTACGTGGAAAACTGCACGGGCTCAAATTTGATCTGCACTGGGTTTACGTTTCACAGACCATGTCACGTAATCTGCCATTGTTCTGTGCAAACACAATCCATATACTATAAATATATAGTATTAAAAAGCCTGTGTATTATTCTGCATGTGTCTTAATGGATGCCTCAAAACAAATTTTGATTCGTTACATAATTATAATCGCAGAAATGAGCCTGACTTGGTGCAAGCCTTCAATTATTCGCAACAACAGTGACCATTTGGCCACGACACACATCAGTGACGAGTGCTGTCTGAACATCTGACCCAGTCCTGCGCCCCCCCCACCTCCCATTTCATTGACCCGCGCCCGCCAACGCGGTAAGGAATGGTCACACCACCCCCATGACTGACATAGCATGGGAAAGCTTTCCTCCACTAGCGGATTGAAAAAGGGGCTGTACATTATACTTTACAGAGAATACTTTCTGATAGGAAGACCTCAAACTTCTATACACACGCACACACAAGCACAGTGCTGGCATGGGAACCACAAGACCAGTTGTCCCACAGTAAATATATATCAAAGGCTTATGTTGAGCCCTTAATTAAAAAAAACACTGTTATATGCTTCCTACTATAGTAAGCACCGTCACAGCAACAAGTAGGATTTTGAAGAAAGTAATGCAATGCAAAACAATAATTAAAATTAGTTATTTTTCATATGCCAACTATTGCTTTGTGGAAGTTTGGTTTATGTTCATCATCAATGCCATGAAATCAGAATGATATATTTTTTTTTAAGATGGCCATGTGCAGGAGTCGCATGGATTGTGGCATCCCAAAACGGAGGGACGGCGGCGACACGGGGAGGCCTTCACCCAGCGGTAGATCGCGATAACCGACGATGATTACCCCACAATTATTTTATGACCAGAGCCTCCAGTGCTAAATCCACGCCAGCCTCCAGCCCCTGCAACCCAGGTGCTTTTGACGCGGCGCTACGTCTTGGTAAGACCGGACGGTGTGGAACATCGCTCTTGCTGGTGCGGCGGGTCGTTCACACGCGGCTGTCTGGCTTGAGTTTGGCACCGTTTCCAGGACAAGACACGAGCGGTTCCTTCCCACCGGCCGCGCCAACGTCGCCCCCATCGCTGCTGTCGGCCATTCCTTCGGTGGCCGCTAGCGGAATGGTGCCGTCGGCCTCCGTCCCACCGTCGCCGCCCAACCGGCGGCTCTCGACGGCGCGGTGCGCGGCCATGGCCGCGTACACACAGCCGTAGCCCGCCGCCGCGGCCATCATGACGCACAGGAGGCCGCACACGACTCCCGCCACCACCACAGTGGTTAGGGCGTAGCGCACGCTGGGCTGGCGTGCGCGTACGCGGTGGTGGAACATGCACGCGTCGTTGATGCCGCGCTGCACCGAGCGTGGGGACAGCGTGCCGGGCTGCTCCACCGTGAGTGCCATGGGGCCCCCCGCAGCCAGCTGGGCCGGAGCACGGCGCTGCGCCGGAGGCAGCAACTCTTGCAGCGATAAGGCCAAGGGTTCTTTGGCGGACAAAGACGGGGGCATCTTCGCCGGCAAGAACAGAGGTTGCGGCTCCCTTGCCGAGAAGGGCGGGTGTTGCTCCTCTGAAGGTGGCGGCAGTGAGCGTTGTGCCGTGGACGACACGGTCTCTTTTGCTGAAGGTGGTGGGGGTTTGTGTTCAGAGGACATGAAAGGGTGTCCTTCACCGTGATCGTTCTGCAGCACCTCTGCCTCCAAAAGCAAAGGCTCGGAGATCCTCCGTGCCCAGTCGGATTTGTTGCTGTGGGTTTCGCGCACAGATGTTTGGCACCAGGAGAACATATCGGAGGACAGTTGCTGGAGTGGCCTGTTCCTGAGCTCCCTCGGTGCGGAGCACGACAGTCTGTCCACCTCCCCGCCTGCACAACCACGCACACAAGACAAGCGATTAAGCCTTGTTTAACACTTAATCGTGTTAACCAAGGTAGATTTATTCGTCAAAAATGAAGACAAACGTAATTTTCGCTTTGGTCTTGATTTGTTGAATGTGTAAAACATCTACCATCACCGAATTAACGCTCGGTGATGGCATATTAGGAGACGGTGCATTGTTTGACTTGTGTGCTTAGATCATGCAGTGTTAAGTAATATTCTTGGGTCTTTCGGTAAAGTCACGTAGATAGGTTCAAAGAAAATAACAAAACAACTACGACGTTTGTGTTGCGATCGAAACGTCGTAGTTTTTAGTTATTTTCTTTGAACCTATCTACGTGACTTTACCGAAAGACCCAAGAATATGAATTCCTGCAGTCACGAAAGCTTTAAGTCAAGATTTAGTGTTAAGTAATGTTAGCTTTAACACGTAGGCTTTCACAACCAATATTCATGATAACGTTTTTTGGGTGAGATCACGTATATGCGAATGTGTCTTATACCCACCTCCACCGGACAGTCAATTAGGTTTGCCACGTGAACAAAACGTGCCAATTTGTTACTGCATTAGCACAGTGTGTTAGAGAGAAAATCCACAACATTTACAATTAAGTAGGGCGTTTAGCTGGCGATTACAACCAGCATCAACCGGAACCCAAAAAACCTTATGAATAAAGTTGAACTTATTTGACAATACATGATAAGTCAAACGAAGGCACCCAAACGAGAGACGTCCTTGTACTGTGTTGCATGGAACAGAGTGGCTTGTGACGGAGGTTGATAGAATATCAATCTTCCCCGTGTTCACCACCAATAAAATACAACTTTTTAAGTCCATCAGCATATGGCAGCATTTGTTAAATCGGACAAACTGTCGACTGGCTTCAACTTAATATGCCTCATCAACAAGTTTGTGACCAGTTTAACGATGCTTGCTGGGCTACCCGATGTTGTAGGCAGGAGCTTTCCGTGAACAATTTGGAGCCCGTTCAGTGGGGTGCAGCTAAGTTGTGCAAAACTGTGCACGTTGTGGGTAATGATAAATAAAACAGTTGGTTTATTTCACCATGAATTAAATTATGTTTTGTTGGTGAAGGAAACCATTTTGCTCTCTTAGCCTGCAACATGCATTTAATAAGTGAAACTCTGGATGGGCTCCGATTTTCTGGGTATCATCACCGCTGTGCCCTCTTCTGCAAATGTGAGACGGTGGTCTGTTGAAAAAAAGAAACATCTCACACGCCCTGGGTGGTCATGCGATGCAAACCTCGAAACGTGAGCCATTCCAGCCACAGTCTCAGCCCCCACAGGGAACAGTCGCACTCCCAGGGGTTGTACTCGAGCCGCAGCCACGCCAGACGTCCCAGCGGTCCCAGCAATCCGCTGGGGATGCTCGCCAGACGATTGGCGCGCAGGTCGAGCCTCTCGAGGGCGGTGGTGCCTCCGAACAAACCCTCGGGCAGCCGGGAGAGGTGATTCCAGGCGAGGTCGAGAGAGCGCAGCTCCCGCAAGCGTTGGAACAGCTCTTCGCTCAGCTCCTCCAGGCGGTTGTGCGATGCCCGCAGCGTCACCAGGCCCGGAAACGCTGAGAGCACGACAGGGGACATCTCCACGATGCGATTGTAGGACACGTCCAGGTGACGCAGGTGCGGGAGCGGCTGTGGGGGGTTCGCGCGCCCGGCGCGGAACCCGTCCAGCTCGCGGAGGGCATTGTGACTCACGTTGAGCGTCGAGAGGGAGCTCAGGCGCTGCAGCAGGCCGAGGAGACTGGACCCACGGATTCGATTGTGGGACAGGTCGAGGAGGCGGAGGGAGGGCAGGCGGTGGAACGCGTGCTCCCGCACGCCGCGCAGCGCGTTGTGGCTCAGGTTGAGCGAGAGCAACGCCGGGCAGCCGGAGAAAGCGTCCGGCGGGAGGATGGAGATGCCGGCATGGGACACGTCCAGGGCTTGCAGCGAGCGCAGGCGGAGGGCAGCGAGCACCAGCGGGGCAGGGAGGTGGCCCAGCAAGAGCAGGGCTCGGGTACCTGGCGGCAGTGCGCTCGAGTTGACGTGCCCGCTGCAGGCGAGGGTGCCCGGTGATGGGCACGTGCAGCCCTTGGGGCACGGCGAGGCCGGCAACGCGTTGGAGCACAGGGCTACGAGAGCCACGATCGTCGTGGAAAAATCTGGCGGTGGGAGAAAACGATGAAGGACAGCGGCCGCTCACGTTGAGCGGTTTCGCTTACAAGCCGGCAACGAGCTAGTGAGAGTGTCACTCTTTTTTTGCATTCGAAATGTGAGACAAGATTTCGGTGGGAATTTGGTTATATCAGATCACTGTCACCGATTGCAAACGCTACTTTAAAATAATATAAAGTTTGCAAATCAAATCGAGCGAATGCCTTACAATGACAGCTGGGAGCATAATTTTACAAAGTGCAGCCTTGCGAATGTAATTTTACTACTTTCTACTGGAGCTGAAACACAAATGCCACTTGTGCATGCATTCATGCAAACATGACATACAGTAGCAAACAACACATGCATACCTATGTACATCACGCATATAATGGATATTCACGGATATTTATACATACGCTAACGCATACAACAACGAAAACGTGCGTGCGAGTGTTTGTCTCACCTGTTCGCAACATAATTCGGTGTCGAGGTGACACTTGGAGCTGTGTCCCGGTGCGCGTCTTCCTCTCCTTTCTCGTGTGTGGTGCTTGCGACGCCTGTTCCTGGCAGTGGTCGGTGTCAGTGTGCGCACAAAGACAACGACGACACGCACGAGCGCGCACACACAGGCAACGTAGTTAATCCCACAAGCCAACACGAGCAACTCTCAGCTCCCCCCCCCGAAAAAAAAAACACCCTCCCGTCAACACTAATGCGAGTCGCCCCCCTTTCAATGCGCTCTATGAAATGCTGGGCCAGTTTGGCGTGAAGCCAAGACTACGGGTTCTCTCCTCTGGAGCTTTTTAGGTCCAATTGTGGTGATGTGACTTTCCACGTCTCCCCAGTCTTCTCAGTTCTCACGCAGTTGGTTTTGCCAACAGAATGTTGTGCATCGACGTCTATTTGGGAATTTAGGCCAGATGTTTTTAAAGCTTCATCGGTTTTTTTTTGTCCAGGTGCTGGCACATGCCAAACTCTCACAGATGGAATTTAGGCACATTTTCAAATGCAATCCACTGCCCTTCGTGAATCTACGCCTTTCATTCATGGGGTTGTTTTACCATATTTCATGCTGGTCAGAGTGGTTTGATGAAGGAAGGTCAAGGACTGATTCAAATATCACTCATCACTAATGTTCGCGATGGCCAGGCTTTGTACTTTTGATCCCCGGGTTCACAGTGGAGTGTGATAACCTTGGCTCTTAAAGCTGCACCCATGGATTACTCCAGGGTATTATTAATATGGGTATTAAAAAAACAGGTCACATTTAGTAGCTCTGCACCAGAATTATCTATGATTGGACTCTACCCAAGAGTAATACTGTATTCTGAATGTAAACACAAATTGAAATTAAATCCATATTGATTTCAATGCCAGAGTACATCTTCTGGTCCTCACAAGTAGCTCCAGAACTTCCATATATTTATTTATGTAGTAATTTGAAAAGCGTCTCAATGGTGGCTGCAAAGGATGCACTCAGTGTCTAGCATTTTCATTTGCAGAGATGTCTTGATGTTAAAATTGGGCTTTACATATAGAGTGCTGTATATACAGTGCTATTTCGGGACACCTTGACCAGATCACAGGTCTTATTGCTCTGCGAACTGGAATTTCTCGTCAGTAAAGTCTACGTGACTTTACCGAAAGACCCAAAGAATATGAATTCCTCCAGTCACGAAAGCTTTAAGTCAAGAATTGTATCCACTTGCTCAAACAATAACAACAAGAGGACCGTGATCACGACTATTGACAGTATTGATCCAACGGAGGAAATACAATGCGCCATTATCTCCATAGGACAGCCAAAAGACATCAGAAAATCGTGCATTCTACGCTGGATATAAGCACACCTTATAAATACATTTCTCATAAGCATCACACCCTTACAATGCACTGGTGCGGAGAAGGCAATTGACAGCTTCTGATACAAGCACACGTGGCCTTTCTCCCAAGGGGTGTGCTTATGTCCACATTCTGCTGTTTTTATTTTTGATAGGGTTGAATTTATCCCTGCCCTGATGGAAGAGCTCTTTGATGTGTTTTCGGGTTGTACCACGAGCTGCTCAGCACGACGTGTGACGTTGGACCCCACGTGTTTGGAGCCAACCCGCACAAGTGCAAACGCTTAAGCAGGCAGCAGTCATGCCATCGAATGCCTGCAGAGTAGACTGGGCATGAGCATGGGATTTTCATCCATGGAGTGGAACTCAATAGCAGAATGTTTCTGGATCAAATACGGGACCTCTGCATATATAATCGCTCTCGTCAAAAGCCCCCTGTTGATTAATCCCTGCGTGCAACAAGCGACGACGTATTGAACGTGCGCCGTGTATAATCCAACCCAAATCCCGCCACGTGGTGCACTCAATTCGATTAATACGTCAACCCGCCCAGCTGATCCCCCTGCAGCTTTATGTGAGGATTTGTTTGTATTCGACATTTACAAATATTGTTTACCAGGTGTAGTCACAAATATGCGTCTATAGCACTCAAGTTAATGTAAAGAGGTCAAGTTCAACCCTGCAATTACTTGCCCATCCCACTGCTAGAGGATAGATCTCCACTACTTAGAGGGAGCTCTAGAGAGCCATCTAGTCATGGATATTTGGCCACCGTACTCATGCTGGACAAAACCTCTTTGGATAGGTGCTAGTACCCCCACTGTACACCACACCCGACCGACTAATCAACTGTGTTGTACCCATTTGGGGCCGTCCATAAATGACGTCACGCGAGTTTGGACGATTTTTGACCCCCCCCCCCCCTTGTCACACGGCGTCACAAAAAGTCAGACCCCTCCCCTAAAATATGACGTCACAAAGCTCTGCCCCCTCCAAAAAAAATATAAAACATGCTTTAAATCGCTTTAAACTATTGTCATTGTAGTGCGTATTTAATGCGGCGCTGCACGCTGATGTTGTAGGAGAAAACATGTATTAAAAAGTATATTTAATTAAGTAGAACGTGTTGTCTATATTTACTTAAAGTTGCGCATTTTGATGTTTTATTCAGTTTATTTATTCAGTTTCATTTATTTGGTATAGCCCTGTGAGCCATTCGGCTCTCGAATCGGGTGCAACCGCAACAAACAAAAAACAAAAACATGAACAAGAAAACATCTTAAAGTGACGTCACATTTCTCACTCCCCCCCCCTCGTCACACATCGTCACAAATGTCTGACCCCCCCCCCCCTAGGTGCGTGACGTCATTTATGGACGGCTCCTTTATACTGCTGGGTGGACAGAAGAAGGGGGATTTAAGAAACTTGCCCCACTGTGTGCATGCCGGAATAACAAATTGAACTCGTGACCTCTGGGTTGCAAGTCCAGTGCACTGATCCACGACACCAAAGTAGCATCCCTTAAAACTAAACTATTAAGAGATTCTCACGACGTTTCGGCTGCTTGTGTTGTGGCCGAAACGTCGTGAGAATTTTATTGTGTTATTTTATTTTATCAAATTATTATTTTGTTCTCATTCTATGTGACTTTACCGAAAGAACCAAAGAAGATGATTCCTTGCAGTCACGAAAGCTTTAAATCGAAATTTAAACTATTAAGGATAAATATCACGCCAACCGGAAATTAATTCTAGGGATACATTTCAGAGTTCAACGCTATCGAATGATATTAATTAAACTAAAGTAATGTATACTGAACACCTCAACAATGTGATTCTCCTGTGCGTATTTTGTTGATGGAAATGTGCTAAATCAGCCCGAATACGGAAAACATACGTAGTACCACATACGTTATTAACAACATGTGTGAGGTTCATATCAAGTAATCACTTTAACAGGATTTTATATAATAAATGTTTTGAATGTATTTGTAGATTTTAAATCCACATGCTGCTTGCACAGTTAAAAGTACAAACACAAAATTAGGCTGTGCCATGATGTTTCATTAACGCCCTTACACTTAGAAATACCACAAATCTATATTTTACCTGACTGTGTACTTCATAATTTACTTTTGAGTCAGATCGTGTAAGTCAAATCTGTGTTGTACATCCTCCTCCACCCGACAGTTAATAAAGTTGCCACGTGAACACACGTGGCAATTTGTGACAGCTTCAGGACACCCTTATGTTGGAGAGCAATGCATCACATCTACTTGCTGATGTTTGCATCTCATAAAGTATGATTTGCTTTGAATGCATTGATATGTATCCAGATATTGTATGTCTACGTTGCTGTTATTTTCCACATTTGCATGATGACCTTTGCTGGATAACAATCTGGCATTATATTTCATCACCCGTCTTATTTCTCTACGACGGTCTCACTTGCCGATTTTTCAAAAAAGAGTTTTCAACATTTATAAACAAAATGATCCCGTTGTACGTACCTTGATGCCGTTTGCAATTTACCTCAGTAAAATAGATTAGATAGTGAATCTAAAAAAAATCATCACACTAAATAATCCATCATATTTTAACTGGCATTCTCTTAAATACATAACACAGGCTGTAAAGTATTAGATACATAATTGTTGAATTGTATGAGGCTTGGAAGCGCTAAATTGCAAAACATTGACGACAAGTTGCTGGAATAAACAAAGGCAAATATCGCTGAATAGCCTTAACAGAATGTAGGGGCAAGTGCTGTTATCGAGCACCTATGAAATAAACCCAGCTGATACAAGGCACGCTGCTTCGAAAACAACAAATTACAGCAGCAATGCTGGACACCCACACTTCACGAAGCTGGCAAAATAAATACTGGACGTCTGTGAAAAAGAGCTTGATCCCTCATCGGAATCCTCCAGTCGAAATAAAGATTCTTAAAATGTATTGGGAAAATGTGGGTACTTCGTACTCGTTTAAAGCATCTCGTTTTAAACACGAGGCTCTTCCTGCAGTTCGAGACGTGAGGCAACACACTATTAAGAGATGTGCATGAGGCATTTCGTTTGTTAGACAGACTCCCACATTTCCAGGGCAGGCATTACCCACGCCCCGAGTACCGCATTGGAAGACGCACACTTACTTGCTTCACGGTCGGTGTCTCGTCCCGTGCACTGTTTGTCGGTGCGGTCTTCACACCTGTCCGGTGGTCATTGCCTCACATCCTTGTGCGTGCCCGCTTCCCACAACAATTCCACCCTGACAAACACTCTGGGCAAGCTTCCTGCCTCCTCACCAACCCCACCGACTCGCACACGCGCACACACAAACCAGCATCAGACCTCTCGGGCTTGCCCACGAGCATACGCCTACCTGAAACTAACCCATGTTGGTGCACACCTTAATATTTCATGATGGAGTCAGGGCAATCTTGTGGCTGACACTATACACCAGCGTCCAGTTATAATTCGCGGTGTGGCAGGGAGGTTGTGGGAAGGGGGGGGGGGTGTTGATGTGCTATGCCCCTTCG